TCAAGATTATTAGAACCATCACCAACTAAACGAATAACTATATCAGAAATTCTTCGTCATCCATTTTTAACCGATTTATTAGGACCTATTGAATTAATGCCTTTTAAACCTCATGTTGATTTAAGAGAAATCAACCAAAATATAATCAGATATCTTGCAATAAAGTAAATTTATATAAATAAAAATTCCCTATCAAACAAGTTCTTTTATTTTATGTTTTCTTTTATATTAGATACGGACATTCAGAACATGAAGTTGAAGAAGCTGTATTACATCGAAAACCGATTGCATGTCGAGCTCTTTATAGTTTAATTGAACGACGTCTTAAAGAGGGTTTAGGTTGGCCAGATCGTACATATAATAATTCTGTTAATACTCAATCATCACCATCAACAACAGGTCCTATGGCTTTAGTTGATGGTCCATCAGATATGATACTTGATAAACTTGTTCGACATGAACCATTACTTCCTGGTCGTCGTATGCTACCACATCTTTCATCTCAACAAACATCTCCATCAACAACCAATGGGCAAAAAGCACCACGTGAAAAATCAAATTTTGCATTTGATGAACAAGTTTTACTACGAACAAATATAAATGAGAGAAGTATTACAAATGGTTTAACACAAGAAGCATTAAATGAATTAGTACCACCATCAAGATTAGTTTCTAGAAAATTATTTCATGATGTAACTGCCAGAAAATCATCAGCTATAGCAAATAATGTTGATTCAATTGATGAACAGATTAGTACAAGACGAGTACCAAATCCTAATAGTCTTGCACCAATAAAAACTACAGTTACTACTCAGCGTGGCAATATCATAGTTCCACACCAAAAACTTAAACCACGTAGTTTACCTAATTCAACACTTGATCATGCAAATCAAAATGGTTTTCATACACCACATGATCTATTAACAAGTACGATGGGTGATAATCGTACATCAAAAACACTTAGTCGTACATCACAGGTTGAAACTTTAAAAAAACCTCAACATCATTCACCGGTGCGATATAATCCTGGTGCGTAAAAAATTTCTTTCTCTATTCATTTCAATTTTTGAGCAGATCTTTCTTGTTATGTACAGAATGTGTATTTCAATGTTTTTATTCATTTTTTCGCTCGTCAACTTTGCAATATTTTATTTGAGAAGAAGAAAACCTTTGAATTTTTTCATCCTTTTCGAAGTGAAAATGATGAGTAAGAGAAAAAAAAATTCCGTAATAATAATAATAAACTTCTGTTTTTCTTATGGGTTCGTAAATAGAAATAATATTATATTTGTTTTAATATATATATTTTTTTTTTTATATATTCTTAGCTCCATCAGTAACAGTAAAAGCAATTGGTTTATTTTTAAAAAATTCTGCATTACATTCACGCGTTAGTTCTTGTAGTAGTAAATCATCGAAAAGTAATGGTGGTACAACAACACTTGATGTTCAACAACAATCTCCTCCATTAAGATTTTATCCATCAACATCAAATACAAATCATAAACAAAATATGATTAATTATCATTCACATGGAAATTTACCATCAACAGATACAACAAAACAAATGTTTATTAAAACACCTGGAACACCAAATCAGATACCAGCTAGTAAAACACAACATTCAAAAACAACAGGAACAAGTGGAGAAAAATTAATGCCAACTTAAATTTCGAAATCCTTGTTTTTTTTTCTTTTCTGAAAATTTCTCCTTTCTCTTTTCTTTTCCCTTTCAACTTGATTCTTTTCTTGCCATTGAATACGGTGCTTTCCATCTTGTTTCTCTTTTTTTTCGATTGTTAATAATTGTTTTTTTTTTTTTTCTATTTTACGAATGAAACTAATAATAATCTTTGTTTGTATATAAGATTGTATAAATTTATTACCAATCGAATTTATTTCTAATATATTTAAGTTGTCCGGACAGTCATCTACTTATATATCTTCACAGCAGTTAAAGCAAATCAAGTAGTTGTTTCTTGTTTTGGTCATAGGATAAATTTTTGTTCATAAATACTTTTGAACAGTTGAATTTTTGGATCCAATAGGTGAAAAATTCTGTTCTTTTTTTTTGTTAGCTTCAAAAAAACAATAGACGAAATCTCCTGTTCGATGATGACAATTTGTTTTTGTTATTGTGAATTTTTAGTCATGGAGACCTATTTATAAATATTTGTATAATACTTTTGAAGTAACTCTCGCACGTTTCTTCAAGATAATTCGTCCATTGCTCATGAAAAACTTTTATTAGAACTAAAGTGAGAAAATTGACACGATTTTATGATTTCTATAGTCGCCAAACTTTAAGATGAATGTCACTGATTTTTCAAAAAATGTCAGACAGATGTTTGTAAAGTACGAGAAAGAGACCTGGATAATGAGAAGTGCAGAAGAACAAAGACAATCAATGTGACGAAGCAGGAAGCCCTGTCTATTGTTTTTTGAAACTTTGAAAAACAGAATCTTTTGTACTGGATAAAACAGTTCAAATTTTCAACAGGATTTATGAGTATAAACTTAAAATTCTTCTCTATCTTTGCTTTAATAGTCATGAAGATATATAATTTTCTTTTTAGTAGGTGACTCTCCAAACATCCTATATATATGGAAACGAAAATGAAAAATAATCGAACAATAAAACTATCAGTAAAACTTCTCCTAGTTTTCGGAGAAATCCATATTGATAAATAAAACAAAAACATTAGTTTATCAGGCTTAATAATTGACTAGTTGAGATATTATGTTTTTAATTTTTAAAGATTTGTTGGATTGGTTGTAAGGAAATCAAATTCATTAGTTTTTAAAAATAAAACAATGTTTTATATATATATTTTAAAAACAGTTCAAGTTTTATTTACAAGACATTTTTTTAAAGAAGTTTAGAGCTACAGTTTAAACAAGAAACATGAAGTCAATTAGATTTTTATAAATTTCCGAAACAATAAATATAAATTTTAAGATACATATTTTTTTGCTCTGTTTAACATTATTAGAAATAAATAATATCACAAGGAGTGTACACATCATATTAAGAAAATCATATTTAATTTTAGTCAGATAATAAAAACAATATTTGAAAATCCTATCTGCGATAAGCATATTTGTAATAAATGTTCATCACCTAATAATAGTCGATCTTCATTAATATCTATAAATGTTCAGCAGAAAAACTTGTCTATCGATACTTTAATGATAGAGTTTTCTATATTATCAAATATGAATTAGATTTATGAAAAAATAACCCACAATACTTTTATACGAATGAATCATATCATTGCCTCCGAATACCTCATCAGTTGTTTTGTTAGTTCCAGCAATTGGTAGTACGCCGATTAAAATTAAAACTACTTAGTATTTATTCCTTAGACATAAAGACGATATTATAACCAAAGAAAATAAGGGAAAAGGACTGGCTTTATATTGTAAACATTACACAAAATGGGAAGGACAATGTTTTGATGACTAGCAATTATTTAACTGATAATTATTGTTACCGTTAATTATCTTAAATTTGATGTAAAGACAACATGATGAATATGCAGTAAAACTTCTACTAGTGAACATCTTCTAATTATGAACGGCCTCGGATTCGAGGAAATGATTTTAGATGAATATAATTTTTTGCACATCCTCTTGTTATTATAATCTGTCTAATGTAAATATACGCACAATGTTTTTTTTTTAACTCATTTTAGTGTCTATCACTTCTGTGATGAATACTACGGTCAAGTATATTTTATCTTTTAATCCACTATTGTACGTATGAAGAAAATAATGATTTAACAACACGAGTTTAATTTATAAGTAAACAATAGAATTGATTATTGGATTAGAATCAAAACTCAATGATATTGATATTAATTCAGAAACAACAAAACAATCTTGTGTTGTAATTGTAAAACCCTACAAATCAAATCATTCAGATGAAAACAGATGAACAAGAGAATAAATCACTAGACCTTTATCTAACAACAGAACCAATCTAATTGATAATCTTCATTTGAGTTTATAAGTTCGTACCATTATACCTTCCTTCTTAAGTTATGGTCATTCGTACTGAATTTTCAGTCTATTGCAGAATATTACGAGAAAAATTGTGACAAGCACTTTCGATTATAAAATTTCTCCCATCATAGCATTCATGATCCTTACGATGCTCTGAAAACTTCACCACGAACGGATGTTTCCCTTCTGAGAAAATATGTTTGTAAAACAAACGTTATTTTCATACAAAAATTCAAAATATAGTTCAGTTTTTAGGCATATAATTCCTTAAGATAAAATCATCCGTTTGAGCTGAAACTTTCACAATATCATAAGGATTATGGTATTCTGCAATAGGCTGAAAGTTCAGTAGAATGATCATAAATTGAGAAGAGAGGCTTAATGGCACGAATTCTTTCAGGATTTTTATCTACATTATGAGTTCTACCTATAATCTCAAACGAAAAATTATCAGTCGAATGGGTTCCCACACAACACGAATGTAAGCACTATTTTTCAGTTTACAGTAAATCATGCATCAACTCTCCACACTGAACATCTTTGTATAATGAACGTTTAATAAGATAACAATCCTTCATAGTATTCACAAGAGACACATTTTACAGTACTTGATATTAGAATAAATTAAAGTTTAAAAGAATTAATTAAACCAGTTAACATTAATATACTCATACTTGTATTATGAAAAGATATTTTATATTGGTTTATCAAGCTTATATAAACATATTCATTTATTCGCAATAATAAACGATAGTTCTAAATGAAAAAAAAAAAGAAAATTTCTTTTTCTTAATATCATACCTCATGTGTTTTCTTTTTTACATTTGTAATCAACAAAATAAATAAATAAGACGTGAAGTTTGAATAACGACTAACAAACCTTTAACAAGCAAAAACAAGAGAGAGAGAGAGAGAGAGAGAGAGAAAAACCCGATCTCATGAAAACACAAGAAAAGGAAAACAATGGAGTAAAAATATAGGCAAGAACAAAATGTTTATTTCACTGTTGTTCTTACAATAACTTCATCTAATAAATCATCTATACATAAACGAACGTCATTTTCAATAAAATCAATGATTATTGGACATGAACATGCTGTCATTGGATCAACACGGGTTGATTCAAGAAACGTATGTGGATCTTGACATGCTTCTTGTAAATCTTGTACATCGTGAGTTACTTCCCTAAATATTATTATTAAAAAGCAAATTATAAATTTTGATTTTTAGAAATAAATCATTACCATTGACTGTCACATGATAAACATTCAAATCCTACTTTATATTTCCATCGTTTGGAACGACTTGCATGATTTTCGATAAGATTATGATGTAATTCTTTCATTTGACTTTCCAAAAGACCCAAACAATCACGAATTGGACCAAGGGAACTATTTTTAAAAAAAGTAAAGATTCTTATAACATATAGGCAATTTCATTCTTTAACGATATGATTTCGCAATATAAAACTGCTTATAGCTCTATACTCTTCAAATTCTTTTACCTAATTTTTATGTAACAGATATATGTCAAGTTACTCTATATACCCTGAAAATACAGTCATATAGACCTTTGATCCATCGAAATATGATTGAAAAACTAACTTTAGCAATGTGACACAAAAATCTCCAGGCAAAGATTTTCGAGAATATGTTTAGATTTTTCAGAAAATATAGAAGTGAAAAATTCTCTTATAACTAAACGAGAAGTTCAGCACTCAATTCTAAATTATGTAAAACCTTCTTGTGAATCTTGAAATCATGGTAAAACAAAAATTTCATTCTGAAGCATGAACAAACTTCTGGAAAATCGCTCTTTAGGAAACTATTTGCTCAATCTCCGATCTTGCCGAAAATTCCACTATGTAGGTTATGGTGTTGAGTCTTTTCTAAATCAAATTTTAATGAATTAGCTAATTAAGCTTAATTAGATTGTGATCAAATCAATGATGATCATGTCTGGTTTTTCGCTGAATTTGCCCATATAAAGATTTTTCTTAACATTGATATATCCATTCATCGTTTGAAATTTTTGACTACTCGAAAGAGAACAGTTGATTGTATCTTGACATGCAAAACCTATGATTAGTTTTCAATAGATGTACTTTTTTAAAGCTTCGAATAATGATAATCGATTATTCGTAAAAGCTTCCGACTGTTTTCAAAATAAATAATGAACTTCAATATTATTTATTTATAATGAAAACCCTGAATATTGAAGACTTTACTTACGTTGTAACTCTTTCTTCAGCTTCATTATCTGTAATTAATTCTTGTAATTCATCAATGTCAATTATTGAATTCTATGAAAAGAAAAATTTAATTCTTTTTCTTCAGGAAAAAAAAAACGAGTAAAAATTGATTATTTATTTACGTCTTTAAATAAATGTTGATTATCAATTAATGGTTTAATAGTTTTACATATTTTTCCAAGTCGTATTTCTAATTCTTTTCGTTTTTCTTGATGACGTTGATCTAATTGTTCAAAACGTTGAACATTATCAAGTGAAAACTAGAAAATAAAAAAAAAACGAAACCAGAAATAAAATTAAGAAAAACAAATTTTACATCAATCTAGTAAAAAGCTATTAACAAAAAACAGATAGATGCGAAACGTGCAAATGTGCATAAAACAAATATCAATCTTTATTATATCTTAGGTTTTTTGTTTACTTAAATCAATCATGATAAAAATAATACACAAGACAGAAACACATATATGTATATATATATATCACCGAATGAAATGAACCAATTGCAACGAAAAAATAAAAACAAAAACACAATCAAAACTAAGTCAAACGTTTACATAAACCAAAGAAATAAGTTTGTCTATTGTTTAATTAATGGAGAAAAACAAGCAGCGTGCGTGCAACAATATTCATAAGCATCCCATGTAAAGCACGGAATTGTTTGTGTGTTAGTAGAATGCAGAAGAAGAAGAAGAAGAAGAAACATGATCATTGCAACTATTGATAGTGCCTACCTGATTGGATTTAATTGCTTCTTGTAATTCAAGTTGATGTGCTTGTATTGTATAATCTAATTTTTCTTTTAATGCTTTTAATTCACGTTCTTTTAATTCAAGTAATTCACGAAGATTCTATAACAAGGAAAATATTAGTTTTTATGAAAAAAGAGAAAAAAAATTGATAAATTTATACATTAGTTGAACTACTATCAGTATTCATTCGTTCAAGTTTTAAATCAGTTACTTCACGTTCAAATTGTTGAAATTTTACTTGATTACATTGAAGATCTGCTTTAAGACGATCAACTTCCAAACGATATTGAGTTTCACTTGTACGTAATCTTAACAAAAAGAGATTTTAATATTATTAAAAATTGACTATTTTCGAAAGCTTAATTTTCTCTCATATTAATTTAATATGATTAAAAAATATGAGACATCTTGATGGAAACCAAAGATGGAACCGGTATTAATTACCGATCGGTCATTGCTGGTAATCGCTTTCGAATCGGAACTATATTCAGTCGATAGGACCTAGTGAGCAGATAGATACTCTTCTGAAGTGATTCGAGCTGCTGACTTTTGTTGCAGAGATTAAGTAGACTAATGTCCGCGCCAGAATAAAAGAGGGGTGAGTGTAAGCTCAATAACTCGACAACCGCAATACCTAGCTACCTGCGATTTTCACCAATCGAAAGAGGAGGAGCGGGCACGTCTTTTTCTTCGATAATGTATAAGACGAAATTCTTTTAAAACTAATGATATTTGAAAAACATACAAAACAACTCATGAAAATGACCTGTCAGCTAGATGAAATTTTGATTTTGATCTTCGATTTAGATAGAGGGACTTGAGATCTACAGTTCAAGACACAATGCGCTTTCTTACTTTTTCTTACATTTTCATCGAAATGTCAAGCTACTCGGATAAAAGTGCGAAAACTTAGTAAAAAAATCAGCAAAATTTCCTATTATTTGCGCATGTAGGTACATGATTCCATTTGCTCAACGTTAGAATGTAGTAAGACATTCATTTGCATTGTATCTTGAACTATAGATCTCAAGTACGTCTATCTAAATCGAAGGTCAAAATCAAAATTTCATCTAGCTGACAGGTCATTTTCATGAGTTGTTTTGCATGTTTTTCAAATATCATTAGTTTTAAAAGAATTTCGTCTTATACATTATCGAAGAAAAAGACGTGCCCGCTCCTCCTCTTTCGATTGGTGAAAATCGCAGGTAGCTAGGTATTGCGGTTGTCGAGTTATTGAGCTTACACTCACCCCTCTTTTATTCTAGCGCGACATTAGTTTGTAGAAAACAAATTCTGAAATTTTTTCTACAAGCTAGTCTAATATTTGAGTCCGGAAATTTTTTCAATAGAATTTTTATCTTTTTTTTATGCTATTTGCTAATGAGAATGTTTCTCGGATATATTTTTTCTTTGCTTTTTTTGGAACTTATGAAGAATAAAGTCGTGTACTATGTAAAAGTAAAAAACACTTCATTTTCTTTACTGATGCAGCTTCGACTCTGTCGAAGTCGAATGCAAGGCTCTAATTCATATAAATACTTTTAAGATGAAAATTAATTATTGAAAAAAAAAATTTTATTTCTTACCTATCAGTTTCAATTCTAAGTGTCGATAATTCTTGAATTTTAATATTCATTTCATGTTGAATATGTTTAAATTGTATTGTATATGTTTCAAGTTGTTTTTTTAATCGTTGATTTTGTATACGAATACTTTTAAGCTAAATATAAAAAAATCATTATATTTTATTATTTCAAAAAAAAAATTCCTTCTTACTTGTCGTTCGGTATCATTTAATCGTTGTTTAAGATATGGTTCATTATTATCCATAATTAATAATGATTGTTCATTTGTATTTGATGTACGTTGTGCTACTTCATATGTTAAACATTTTAATGTTAAATAACAAATGTCTATATCGGATGATGAAGAAAAATTTTCTTCATTATCATTTGTTTGTTGTGATGTATAAGATAAAAATGAAAGATGCTGATTTTCTTGTTTAAGTCGATCATTTTCATGCATATAATCATGTATCATAGATTCTAATTTAAGTATTATATCTTTAAGTTTTTTATTTTCAACTTGAATTTGTTTAACATATTGTTTTAATTGTTCACTTTCTTTTGACCATGCTAAAATTTCTTGTTCAAATACACGACGTGATATCCGTTGTTCAGAACGTGTTGGTCTTTATTATGTAAAAAAAAAAAATTAAAAAAAAAAACAGAATCTTTTGTTTTAAATGATACTTACGATTCAGTATCATTTTCAGTTTGAATTTCAACTTGTTGTTTTATTGGTTGATGAGCTAATTGTTTAATTTGTTCCATTAAAGAAATACGTTCACGAAGTAAAACATCCAATTGACATTGACATTCACTTAATCGAGATTCAGTAAGACTACTAGAATTGATAAGATAAAAAAAAACAAATAAAAATTAAATTTTTTATTAGTTTTTGATAATAATACCTATCGATATCAAAAGAAGTTTGTGATTCTATACTATTGAATAATTTCAATGGATAATGTTCTTTCTCTTGTAATTGTTCTCTAGTTTGATCTCGTTCTTTAATTAAACATTGAAGTTCTCTTTGATAAATTATGTTATTTTCATGAAGTTTTTCTTTTAATTCATCAATTTCTTTTTGATATTCTTCACCAATTGATAAACTATTTGATAAAATAATAATAAGTTGAGAGAAAAGTACTGTGAATTATTTTTGTTTTTGATATACTTTTACAATGCAATGGCGTAAAGACTTAATTTTTTTTTATTGTCTTAGAAAGAACAAACTGTTTAATATAAAATAGTTAAATAGAAGCGTTTGTTGACAGTCAGCAAAATCTTAGAATAAAAGCTATCTAGAAAGAAACTGCAGTGGCCATGTTTAGAGAATTTTGAAACAAAAACTTCGGACAATATGAAATTACTCTTCTTCTCGAAGTTTTACAACGACCGATAAAAACGATATTATAACGTTGTCTGGTAAGATCGTTTTTTTGTAACTACTAATCACTAGAGTCTGTCGGGTTAGTCCCGAACTCGACCTAGTCCGAGTCCGAAAATTTTGCATTCGACGAGCTTAACCCATCACAATCAAATAACGAAATTCTACTCCGAAAGGGCACTTATTAGAAGATATTTATATGTTAGCCGTTCAATGTGAAACTACGTCCGATTTCGAATCAGGCTAGACAAATCTCGAATCCGAAGTTGAATGTAATCTCACATTGAACACTAGCATATATATTTCATATGAAAAAGAAAACTTATCGAGCCTTCAGTAAAAAATGACTGTTTGTCATTGAACATAGCTACTTTGTATAATATTCTGATTAAACTTTGTTTTTTGCGTTAAAAATTGCCAAGCTGTTTTTTCTAATGAAACTGTTTGTTGTTCAGAGAGTCTGACTTTGGTCAACTTCGCTTTCTTTTTATGTTGCATCTGCGAAAACTTGTAGATGTTCCCGTAGAACTATGTATCAATTTTTCGAAGGTTGTTTTTCACAGTCATTTTTCTATCAGATAGACGGCCTGTCAAATGTTTAGTCTTTCCTAGTTTTCAAAACCATCGAAAATCGATAATGAAAAAGATCGAACAAACATATTTGGATACAAAATTTTTTACCACAGTCGCAGAAGACTTTTCTATTATCTTTTGTTCTAAGATTTTTATGACCTCTAGGAAATATTTTTACACTAGACATTTTTCTTTCTCTAACACAAAAAAAAGTCAAATCTCATATGACACTGCAACGCTATATCATAAACAAAACTTTTGCCTCATTCTTTATTAAAAACTCACCGTATTGTTTGAGAGAAAACATCATTCGAAGTTAATTCTTTGATTTTTATTGCATATTCATTTTCCATACGATTTCGATAAGCATCGAATGAACTAGAAAAATAAATCATATGAAATTTTTTTTGTTATTATTCATATCAATTTGTTTATCAAATAATATATAATGATAATGATTCTATAATCCTTTGTTTTTTTAAATTCGTCTTACCTTTGTAAATCTTTTATTTGATTTTGAAAATTTCTAATAATAGAAGTTAATTGATCAAATACTTCAATTGTATCATGATATGAATTCGGAAAAAGATCTGGATATTCGGAAATAATTTCTTCAAGTTTAGTTTTAATCATGTCTAATAAGTTTTTATCCGATGATGAAGATGAAATAATATGTTCAGCTAATGATTCTTCAGATGGAAATTGAATAGGTGAATTTTGTTCATCCCAATCATTTGTTGTTTGTTCAGACCATGGTGATGTTACATTTTTAAAAAAGCCAAATAAACGATTTGTAACAGTAGATTGTTGATGATCTATTGAATCAGATGATTTAGTTCTAGATCGAGAACTATCAACGAGTAAATCACATTGAATATCAATATGTCGAATATCTCGATATTGTTTTTTGCTATCAGTTATTGAAGGTGAATTTATAAGCCAATCATTCCATTGATTATCATTTGATGTTTGTAATGGTTGAATTTCTTTTTGATGTTCGATTAATTCAGTTTCAAGTTTTTGAGACATTAATGGTGTAGATGAAATATATTCATTTAATTTTATTTGATATTCATTATCGATTTGTTGTCGATAAAGATCGAATGAACTAGAAAAGATAAATTTGTATAGATAAAAGAATGTTTTTTTTTTTTTTTTTTTTAAATAATTACTTTTGTAATTCATTAATTTCATGTTGAAATCGTTCTTCAATTCTATTACGTTCAGCTTGTAATGTTTCGATTTGTGTTACTTGATTTTCTACTATGACAATCAAATGATCAAGACGTTCACTTGTTTCTTCACTAACATTAATAAAAAGATTAGATTTTTCGGTTGCTATTCGATGAATTTTATCTTTAAATGTTTGTAGTACACGTTTAAGTTTTGTATTAACTTTAAGTAGTTTATCATATTGTTGATCATCTTTTTGTTTTTCATGGTCAATTGCCTGAAATGGTGATGAAGTAGTTTTTTGTAGTTCTTCTAAAAGATTTGTACGTTCACGATTAAGATTTTCAATTTGATTTTCATATTTTTTTATTTGTTCTTCAGTTTCTTTTCTATAATATTTAAATAATTAGTTAAAATAATCTATGAATGAAATAATTACCTTTGTCTATCATATTCAGCTTGTAATTCAAGTTGAGATGATGTAATAGCAGCATATTTTTCACTAAGAGATTTCAATTGTTCTGATTGTTGTTCAATTATTTCATGTAATGATTTTATACTAAATGGATAGAAATTTTAAATTTGATGAAAAACACTACACGATTGACTGTACAAAGGAAAAGTATTCAACTGAAAAATCATCGAACAATATTAGAAACTTCTGACAAGCAAGACATATTGTTTATTATATGAGATAATACAAATATTGTAATAGATATTATACACAAGCCAAAAGAACACTCTTCCACGAAATTCATATACTTCAATTTTTTCTTAATCTGTAAGGTAGAGAGCTCATCAAGTTGGTTCCAAACTCATTCGAATCCGATAGACCCTAGTTATCTGAGAAATATGTAGTGTACGCTACTCACTGAATACAAAAATTCGAAAAAAAAAACCATCGCGTATATCGGAGACGACTATCCAAATCTGATTAGAAAATTTCATTGAAAATACGAAAGTATGGTTCGACAACTTTAAATTTGACGGGCTCTATTGCAGGGTGGTCATGTTTATCAATGATTTTAATCAATTGCTTTTTATAAACTTTTTTTGTTATACTATTTGAAAATATAAGAGCAAAGATTTTTCACTTTGTGAATTCATAAATGGGACAGCCAGTGAACATGAAGCAACTGTGGCCATGATAATAGGCTTTTAGTTCTATAGGAGTACTATCAGTGAAAGATTCAAACCCATTGTATAATAGAATAAATGCGAAAACCTCGGATTTAAATCCGAATGTTATGTGTACTTCAAAAAGTGAAAAGGTATCTTCACTGTGTTTTTTATTACTAAATTGCAAGGAGAAAATACAGGCGTGCTAAGTTAGCACGGACCACACTGTATGCGACCCTATCCTGTGACCACTGACTCTACTCTCAGAGTGATAGAATATCTTTAGAAATCACAGGAATTCAGTTCAGATTCGTGTTTAGNAGAATAGAAAAAAGTTTTATACATATCTAAGAAATAAATATTTACTTTTCAATAAGTTCAAGTACATGTTGTTGAACAAGTGCATCTCGTTCTTGTATAAGTGATTGTAATTGTTCTTCATACATATTTGTTGTTGTTGTACGATCATCTAATGTTTTTCGAAATTCAAGTTCAACTTCATTAAGACGTTCACGAAGTAAAGTTCGTTCATCATCATTTTGTGAAAGCTTTTGTTGAAGTTGATGAATTTGTTTTTTATAATCTTCGATTACTGATTGACTAGAAATTTAAATCGATAGAAATTAATTAAATGTAAAAATAAAATCTACTCAACCTTATATTATTGACGGATGGAGTTGTAGAAACAGATTTTTCTATTTTGATGTCATGTTCATTATCAATCTGATATTGACATGCTTGTAATGAACTATAATCAATCAAAGATATTTATCTAATAGAAAATTTTGTTAGTTTTTTTTTTTTTTTAGAATTACCTTTGAAGTTGATTTATTTCATATTGAGCTTGATCATAACTATTTTGTAGATTATGAATTTGTGTAAATTGATTTCTAATAGTAGAAATTAGATGATCAAGACGTTCGATAGTATCATCATTTATATGAGAAAATAAATCAGGTTGTTCAATAACTATTTGATGTATTCTATCTTTAATAGTTTGAAGTGCACGTTTAAGTTTATTATTAATTTGTAAAGTTTTATCTTGTAGTTGTTCATCAGTTTGTGTCTCATTATGAACAATTTCTTTTATTTGAGAAGGTGATGACGTAACATTTGAAATAAAATCAACTAAACGATTAGTTATATTTGATTCTTCATTTTCATCAATGTTTGTCTTTTCTATGCGTTGTTCTTCTTGTTTGAAATCAGTTTGCGTTGAATCATCATTTGAAATTATTTGATTGAATGATTTTCTAAAAGACGGTGAAAGTTGAAAATAGGACGAGATTATACAAGATCATAAATCTGTTCATTATTAAACTTTTAAAACTCGTGTATAATTCGATATAGAATTTAATGCTGAGTTGTTGGAGGGTAATCTCAAAACGAGATGATAATGTTTAAATTAATAAGAACTCAAAAACATTAACGTTAGTTCCTCGTTTGAAAATTAAATCTAACTATCTATATGGCAAATATACGATTTTGTAACTTTTGAAAAGGGCTATTGATTGGTATATAAAAATACGATTAGTCATCGATGAAGTAACAACAAATAAAAGATTCTGAAAACTTTATTTCAATAGACTTGGCCTTACAGGAATTGGTACACAGTTGAATATTCTATCTGTGTAAGACCAATCTCAGATGAAAGCGTCATTGTCTTGAAGAGAGTAATTCACGTCACAACTTCGATAGTCATGTCTACAATGAAGAACTATGGGTAGTATTTGTGTCCTGTTTACTTTAGACATTGTCAAATCGATTTAAGATTATCATCCAACGATTCAGTATTAAATTTTGTATCGAATTATAAATAAATTTAAAAAGTTTAAGAACGAACAGATTTTTAGACTTTATATGAGTTCATTCTTTGAAACATACGTATCAGTATTTGATTGAAGATTTTTTTCTAATTGTTTAATTTGTTCAAGAAGAATGTCACGTTCATGTTTGAGTGATTTTATTTGATTTTCATATTCATTTAAATAAATATGTTGTTGTTCACTAAAATATTTTTCAATTAATAAAAAGAAAACACAATATTTTATTCCAACCTGTCTCTGTCCATAGGAATAACTGGTTGAATTTCTGCTTGATGAAGTTTATTTAACATATATTCATGTTCATTTTGTAACGTATCAATTTGTATTGCTTGATTTTTAATTGTAGAAATTAAATGATCAAGACGTTCGAGAGTATCATCATTTGTATCAGGAAATAAATCAGGTCGTTCAATAATTGCTTGATGTATTTTATCTTTAATTGTTTGAAGTGCACGTTTTAATTTATTATTAATTTGTACAAGTTTATCTTGTGATTGTTCATCTGTTTGTGTTTCATTATCAATAGTTTCTTGAATAATATGTTTCGTCATTTGAGATGAAGTTCCATCCGATGGAATATCTAAAGATGATATTTGATTATTCCAATCGTTATTTTCTGAAGTAGTTGAAATTGTTCGATATTGTTCATTTTCAATTTCAGTTTGTACATAACGATCGCTAGTAATAGATTGAAGTTCACATTGAATATTAATATCATGAGTTTGTATTATTGATTGATCAGTAATTGAATCTATAGTTCGCCATTTAGTTTGATATAATTGTGAATTTAAATCTTTTAAATTATCGTTTTCAAGTTCAATTTCTGATATAATACTTTTTAATCGATTTATTTCATCTTCATTAGATAATTTTGTTAATTTTTCTTCTTGATTAGATAAATCTTGTTGTATACTTGGATCATTCCAATTATTATTCCAAGATAATTCTTCAGATATATTACATTGAATATCAATATCATGTGATAATTTTATTTCATCAGAATCTAAATGAAATTAATTCATAGAATTAGTTATTTCTATTTTACTAAAAGAAAATTATAAAAATAAATATTAATCATCTCTTATACTATTATTCAAATTTTCAATTTGCTCGTGATAGATGATTCTCATTAAACAAGTAATTATAATTACAAACGAATAATATAATCATGAAAACTGGTGAAATTTCCGAAGATGATACCATCAAATTCAAAATACCAATATTTTTCACTTGAGTTCCACCTCATAGCAGTCCCTTTTCAGTTTGATTATGCTTCATAAAATAAAAACAAATAATAAATCTACACTAATCCTCATCATTAGTGAGTTCTAGAAATTATTCTCGAATGGTTTGTCAATGGCTATTGTTAAGATATACATATTGAATACGAAGAGAGAAACAATAAATATCATAGAATTCACAACTACACATCGTAATACTCTTGTATTTAGTTATCAATGTTTATAATTAGAAATTCAATGAGATAAAATCATCAAAACAGAATTTGTTAATAGATGAAAGCAAACAATTTAATTTTTTTTTATTACAGATACAACATGCCTACTATTAATAAATTTTGTATTTTTCTTCTTATTCTTTCTCGTACAAATTATTCTCATCTATATTATTAAATATAATCATAAATCATTGCAATTGATAATATCAAGATCAAATTGAAAAATCATCGAATAAGACTTAAATGGGAATAAACCTCTTGAATTTCAGTTATCGTAATGTCATGACACTTGCTCATTTTATGAAATTAAGGAAAAATTACACGAAATGTAAGAATTAAGAAAAAAGACTTTTTTTCGAAGTCAGTAAGAGAACTTCTTGATAGTTCTACCCGAAAATGAAGTTTTGTTCTTCTTTGTATACTCAAATGACTTTGTTATTCCCAGAGCGATGATTACAGTAGTCAAGGCGGTTAAAAATGGTACTGTTACTATCTTTTCATACAATTTATGGTCGTTGATAGATATAAATTGATATTTGGGTAGGCGCACTATTTTATTGTAGCGCACACAGTTGATAGCAGATGTTTCTAACTGTTTATCCTTTTACTAATGTTATTGAAATTTATTAACGAGGCAACCACTTCTTCAATATGAGTATTACTTCATTAGTTAACTTCTATTGAGACTAAACAAAACCTAAGACGATTATATCCCATATTTAGAGATTGATATACTTATAAATTTATGCAAATAGATTTATTTCTTACCATTATTTTCTTGTAATTTTGTTTGATACATTTGTGAATTATAATCTTTTAATAATTCATTTTCATTAATAAGTTCATTAAAATCTTGTCTTAATTGTTTATATTCCATTTCTAATTGTTCATAATTTTTTTCTACTAATTTTTCATAATTATCTTGTAAAGTATTTAAATTAAATTTTAAATTTTCATTTTCATGATGTAAATTATATAATTTAAATTCAAATTGTTTTTCACGTAAATCATATTGTTCAATGAAATCGTTTAAAGATTTTTTAGAATCTAAACGTTCAAGTTCATTATGTTCAAGTAATTCATCATATTGATTTTGTAAATTATGAAAATTTTTTTCATTCATATTTAAATCATTTAAATATTTTTCTTTAAGACAATTAAATTGTTCAATATAATCATTTTTTTCATTATTTATTAATTCATATTCTTGTTTTAATGCACGTATTAATGTATCATTATATAATTGTTTAGCATCATCGGTTAAATGTTGATTATACAGTAAATAAATTGTAATTAATGCTAAATGATTTAATTGTAAATTTTCGTATGAATTTAGTAATAAGTTTTTTTTCGATAAAATTTGTTGACATTCTTTATTAAGACGTGTTGAAAGATCATTTGATGATAGAGAACATATTTCATCAATATAGTCTAGTAATTGATTATCTTCTTCATTTGTAGGAAACACATTGTCATCATTAGACTAATAAATGGAAAAGTTTATTCGTTTTTCTGTTTGAGATTAATAAACGGGTGGTTTATAAGGAATGAACCTCGTATTATTCTCTACATATTTTTTAACATAATGGAACAATTTTTTTTTTTGATAGATTATTCTCTCAATTCTCTAAAAACTTGCATTTTTCACTTAAACGAAACAGTATTATCAAAGAATTTATCACAATCATATTCAAAAGCGAAAGAAGAACGATTGTTTAAAGATGATGAAACAATATCTCGTGAACAAGATAAACAAATACAATCATATTTTAATGTCTTGATTCTACTATGCGGATAGTTTTCCCTAATGGGCTGAAAAAAGTGTCCGAAATCTGTATGTAATCTTTTTTTCTATATTATAAGATATAAGAATAAAAATAATAAATTGATTTATGATTTACGAAAAACTTTATTTGGAAAGTTACAGAGTTAAGGATATCATATAGTATGGGATTTTGGTCCTGTATAGGTCTAGTTTATATCGAATGAAACGAATAGATTCAGAGTAAGTCACTTTAAAACATTTTTTTTTTGGTCAGTCTTTTTCTTTATCATAGATGACTTTAATCGATTATTAGTTTGAACGTAATTCTAATGAAATCTTCAGAAGGATCGAAGATTTAAGGCCCCCCTCCCCATCAAAAAAAGTCAATTTTCGTCAAAAAAGTCGAAAGGGAGATAAATGCATGGGAAGATAGCCCGTGATCTGCTCTTTCATAGCTGATAAAAAGTTTTCGTCGATACCTCCTTTTTGTCCAAAATTTTCGAAGATTTTCGTCAACCCCTATGCGAAAAATCAGCTGTTTTTTCAAAAATTAAAAAATGTTTTTCGTTTTTTCTCGGTTTATGACTTTTTTATCTTTTGTCCAAGATTTCTCGGTCCAGGCTCTTTCAATATATTTAAGTTTTTATTGTTTGAAAGAGCATGTCCAGGTGCAGGGCACCACAGAGTCCTTTTTTTAATTAAGCTTTATTTTTTATTATATATACAGACATTTATGTAACTAGACACCCATTTTTGGCGCTTTTTTTGAGTCATTGAACTTGTGATCCCCTTTTCCGCTAAAAAAGTAAGAATTTAAAAAAAAACAACTCTGTGGTGCCCTGCATCCTGACATGCTCTTTCTAATAAAAAAAAATTAAACATATAGCATGAGCCTGGACCGAGAAATCTTGGACAGAAAATGAGCTATTTTTGACCCTTGTTTGGTTCATATCTCTGTCAAACGTCATAGTATCGAGCTGAAAATTTTACCACAGCCTCCTCACTTCAGCCCCAACATATGCTCCAAATTTCAGCCCATTTGAACATATCTGGGCTGAGATCGATTTTTGAGGGGGAGGGGGGCCTTAACAATTATTGTTAATTAATAAGGTAGAAATTGACACAATTCCTTTGAAACTTTGTATAAATGACCATCTTTGGCATACTTTCGCGTTTGATTCCATAGAGGAGAAGATTGCTTGCTTTAAAAAAAAAACAATTATAGAAATACTTCTAGATACAAAAGATAATCACATATACAAAATTTCAGAAGTCTTGTATGACTAAGAAAATGCCTGATAAAATCACTCACAAAGCTTAATACAAAAAGCTTGATAAAAAAAAAAGAGTTTTGCAAGTGACACATTCTGAATCTATCCATTTCATCGATTCTAAATAAGATATACTGTTCCATTAAGCGTAAAATGCTAATTCATAGACAATCTAGTGAGGAATCTACCTAGAAAACTGTCCTGTTGTGTTGAAACTTTACTGAGAAGTATGCAAAATACTACAAGATCCATTCTTTAAGATACGTCTGTTATTTCAATAACTTACGATAGACCAAAGTTGTTGAAATGATTCAGTTTGAATTTCTTGATTGATCATATCGATAGGATCAATTTGTGTTTGGCGATTATCATATATTATTGATATTGTTTCAGTAGAAATATGAATTTTTTCTGATGCCTCAATTGTTTGAGTATGATTTTCATTTGTTTGAATATTATATTTTTGTTCAAATTGACTACTTAATTGTTGAGCAATGTCATCAAGTGTTGAATTTGGTGAAAGAGAAATCCAATTTCGTAATTTCAAACGAAATGAATCAAGTTCATTTTGATTTGTTTGTGTCAATTGATTAAATTGACAAGTAATCAATGCTAGATCAGATCGAATTTTATTAATTTCTTCAGTTTCAATAGGAATTGATGATGATGATTCAAGTTCAGGCTAAATTATAATAAAAAAATCATAAATAGATTAAAGAATAAAACATTAAACAAACATTTTCTTCTAAATCCTCTGAAATTTCTTCTTGAATTATATTTGACTCTAATGCAGAATGATGACCTAAAACAATTGATCGATCATTTAATGGATTAATTAAATTTTCTTTTTCAAGAAGAAGTTGTTGATTAATCTTTTCAAGTTCTTCATTTTGACTTTTTAAAATCAATATTTCTTGATTTAATTCATCAATATTATCTGTAGAAGATTGTTCAATTGATTGAATATTCATAGTTAATTCTACCGATTAGATACAATAAATAAATAAATAAACATAATCATTGATTTATACTGTATTACCTGATCGAAGATTATGATTAACTTTTTCTAAATCGAAATATTTTTTATTAAAACTTTCACGATCTTTTATGATTTGTTCAATAATTTCTTTTGTCATGTTATCAAATGAAATATTTTCATCTATAGGAATGTAATCATGAAGTTTATTTCGGATATTATCTAATTGTGTTTGTTGCCATGTACGATTTGCTTCATCAAGTTGAGCACATTGATTTGTTAGAAGAACAACAGTATCTCGAAGTTGTTCAAGTTCTTCTACATCTTCTTGAACAGTTATACCAGTTTTATGAATAGGAACCTAAATATCAGACACAATAAATAAAAAACATAAAAACTAAAGTTTCAAACAAACCTTTTCAAATGGTTCTCTCAATACATTCGATGATACTTTTTCTTAAAAATGAAAAATTTTATGATGTAATCTTGAGTACAGAATAAAGGTTACATACCAATAGTTTGTTTCGGCTCTGCATGAGTTGATAAACTTTCAAGTTGAACAACCAAAAGTTGTTTCTCGGCATCAAGTTTTTCATATGCTTCTTTTATTGCAAGTAGTTCTTCATTCAATTTACTGACATTATATACATCAGATGGTTGCACCGATTCAATATTTATATTTGATTCTGCAAAAACAAAGAAGAAGAATGAAAAAATAAATCATGAATTCTAAAATACCTGATCGAAAAGCATTAAGTTCTTTTTCTAATGCTTCGTATTTTATATTGAAATCTTCTCGTTCTTTAATAATTTGATCAACAATTTCCTGTGCAATTTCATCAAAGGATGTATTTTCATCAATAGGCAAATAATCATGAAGTTTCGATATGAAAATATGAAGTTGTGCTTGTTGATATTGTTGCCATGCTTGATTTGCTGCATCAAGTTGAGTACATTGATTTGTAAGAAAAGCAACAGCTTCTCGAAGTTGTTCAAGTTCATTTCCTTCTTCTGCAAGACTCGAGCCACTCATATGAATAGGAACCTAGCAACAAGAGAAATAAAATTATGAAGAAAATAAGTCAAAACAAACCTCTGCAAATGGCTCTTTCATTGTATTTAATGAGACTTTTTCTAAACAGAGTACAAAGTAAATTATTTTCCGTGCTGTAATACAGAGCAAAAATATACCAATGTTTCGCTCAACTTGCTCTTGGTTAACTTGAACAGATCCTTTTTCAAGTTCATTAATTAAAAATTGTTTTTCAGCATCAAGATCTTCACATTGTTTTCTCATGGCAAGTAATTCTTGATTTAATTCATTTATTGTATTCATATAACTTTCTCGCATCGATTCCATGTCATTTGTTGATTCTACATTGAAAAAAAATATAAGTTAAAACATCCGATAATGCTGAAGAAATTACCTAGATGAGGTTCATTATCAATTTTTTCTATTGTTTGAGAACTTTCATTCAAATCTTCTTGTTCTTTAGATAATTTTTGAATGATTTGTTGTGCAACGATGTCAAAGGATGCATTTTCATCAACAGACAAATAACCATGAATTTTCGATCGGAAATCCTGTAGTTGCGTTTGATGATATAGTTGCCAAGCTCGATTTGCTTCATCAAGTTGTGCACATTGATTTGTGAGAAGAATGATGGTTTCTCGAAGTTGTTCAAGTTCTTTTCTTTCTTCTTCTAGATTAACATCACCGATATGAATAGGAACCTGAAAGCAAGAGAAATTAATTGATAAAGACAATAAGTGAAATCAAACCTCTTCAAATGGTTGTCTTAAAATATTTGATGATACTTTTTCTAAAATAAACATATTCCACATTTTACTGCACTGTATACAATAAAAGAAACATACCAATAGTTGGTTTACTGTGGTCTTGATCGATTTCAACAGATCGCTTATCGAGTTCATATGACAGAACTTGTTTTTCAGCATCAAGTTCCTCACATCGTTTTTCCATAGCAAGTAATTTTTGGTTCAAGTCATTTAGTGTATTTTTATAAGTTTCTTCGACTGTTTCCAAATTACCTATTGATTCTACATAAAAAAATAATATAAATGAAAGAATCAATAATGAAGATAGAATTACCTGAACGAAGATTATCATTTTCTTTTTCTATTGCTTGATATTGTTCATTGAAATCTTCTCTTTCCTTCGATATTTGTTCAACAATCTGTTGTGCAATGATATCAAATGATGCATTTTCATCAAAAGACAAATAATCATTCAGTTTAGATCTGAAATTTTGAAGTTGTGCTTCTTGATATAGTTGCCAAGCTCGATTTGCTTCATCAAGTTGTGCACATTGAGTTGTGAGAAAAGTAATATTTTCGCGAAGTTGTACAAGTTCGTTTCCTTCTTCTTCAACATTCATACCATTGGTATGAATACGAACCTAAACATAAGCGATATGAAATAAGACAGAAAAATAACTCGAAACAAACCTGTTCAAATGGTTGTCTTAAAATATCTACTGATACTTTTTCTAAAATAAAGATATTTCATATCGTAATGTCGAATATACAACCAAATAAACATACCAATAGTTTGTTTAGGCTGGTCTCGATCGATCTCAACGGATTGTTTTTCGAGTTCATTAGTCAAAAGTTGATTTTCAGCATCAAATTGTTCACATTGTTTTTTCATTATAAGTAATTCTTGATTTAATTCATTTACTGTATTTACATAAGATTCTCGTATTGATTCCATATTATTTGTTGATTCTAGAATGAAAATAGATTAATAATAACAACGATAATCAATATTAAACAACCTGAACGAAGATTATCATTTTCTTTTTCTAATACTTGATATTTTCCATTGAAATCTTCACGTTCTTTTGTTATTTGATCAACAATTTCTTGAGCAATTTCATCAAATGAAATATTTGAATCAAGTGATAAACAATTTTGAAGTTGATTTCGTAAAATATCAACTTGTGTTTGTTGATATTGTTGCCATGCTTGTTTTGTTTCATCAAGTTGACCTGTAAGTGAAATGAAATTTTCACGAAGTTGTTGAATTTCTTCTGCTTCTTGTTGATCAACACTTTGAATACTTTTCATTGGAATCTAAACATGAAAACAATTCGAACATAAATAAAAAGAAAGAAAAAAAGAATTCAATAAAACTACCTCTTCAAATGCTTTTTGTAATGAATTAGATGATACAAGTTCTATAATAAAGAAGAGAAACATTACTTGATAAACTTTTAGATAATTCAACTTACTATCTGGTTGTTCATATTGTTCCTTCATACTAAGTAATTCTTTATTTAATTCATCTATTGTATTGATGTAAGATTCTTTGATGGTTTGTAAATTAGTAGCTGATTCTATACAAAACAAAAAAGGTATAAAGAAGGAAGATGATAGTTAGAACATGAAATACCTAATTGAAGATCATTATTAAGTTTTTCTAATGCTTCATATTGTTTAGTAAATTCTTCTCTTTCTTTTGTAATTTGATTAAGAATTTGTTGTGCAGCTTGATCAAATGTGAAACATTCATCTATTGGTAAACAATCAAGAAGTGTATTTTTGAAAGTATCCAATTGTGTTTGTTGATATTGTATCCAAGCTTGATTTGCAACATTTAGTTGTGCACATTGACTTGTGAGAAGAGTGACGGTTTCTCGAAGTTGTTCAAGTTCTTGTTCATGTTCATTGATGAGAGGAGATGGTGATGGAGATGATTTTAGACTATGAATTTGAGGCTAAAATAAATAACAATTTCTAATATCGAAGTTTAAAGAAATTAAACAACTAACTTCTGTAATATTTTTATTGTGTGTTCGTTTTTGAAGCATTNGCTTGATCAAATGTGAAACATTCATCTATTGGTAAACAATCAAGAAGTGTATTTTTGAAAGTATCCAATTGTGTTTGTTGATATTGTATCCAAGCTTGATTTGCAACATTTAGTTGTGCACATTGACTTGTGAGAAGAGTGTTTGTTTCTCGAAGTTGTTCAAGTTCTTTTCTTTCGTCTTCAAGATTAGAACCACTGATATGAATAGGAACCTAAAAGCAAGAGAAATTAAATGATGAAGAAAATAAGTAAAACCAAACCTCTTCAAGAGGTTGTCTTAAAATATTTGATGATACTTTTTCTAAAATAAACATATTTCATATTTTAGTACAGTGTGTACAGTAAAAGAAACATACCAATAGTTGGTTTACTGTGGTCTTGATCGATTTCAACAGATCGCTTATCGAGTTCATCTAACATAACTTGTTTTTCAGCATCAAGTTCCTCGCATCGCTTTTCCATAGCAAGTAATTTTTGGTTCAAGTCATTTAGTGTATTTTTATAAGTTTCTTCGACTGTTGCCAAATTACCTATTGATTCTACATAAAAAAATATAAGTAAAAGAATCAATAATGAAGATAGAATTACCTGAACGAAGATTTTCATTTTCTTTTTCTATTGCTTGATATTGTTCATTGAAATCTTCTCTTTCCTTCGATAATTGTTCAACAATCTGTTGTCCAATGATATCAAATGATGCATTTTCATCAAAAGACAAATAATCATTAAGTTTCGATCGAAAATCTTGTAGTTGTGTTTGTTGATATAGTTGCCAAGCTCGATTGGCTTCATCAAGTTGTGCACATTGAGTTGTGAGAAAAGTAACATTTTCTCGAAGTTGTTGAAGTTCTTGTTCATCAATAAGAGAAGGTGCTGATTGAATTGGAGTAAAAGTATGGATTTTAGCCTACATATTAAACATATATGAAGAGAGAGTTGTTGAATTGAAAGAAGTTATACATACTTCATGAACCGGCGAGACAGATGTTTTCTTGCTGAGGAGCGGTGATTCTCTTGATGTTAATGCTATGGAAGAACTTTTATTAATAATGTAAATTATTGTATAGATATCTTTACCAGATATAGATGTTTTTCTTTCAATTTCAAGTTGATCATTTTGTTGCTTGAGCATATGTATTTGTTGATTAAGTTCATTTATTGTACTAGCATAAGTTTCTTGTATTATTTTATTATTATCAGCTAATTCTTAAGAAAAAAGAAAACAAAAATAAAATGAATTCTAGATAGAACAATAAATATATTACCAGAACGAAGGTCATTGTTTAGTTTTTCAGATGTCTGTAATTGTTGCGTTAGTTTTTCATGTTCATTTTGTATTTGATCAATATAAGTAGTAATATGTTGTGCAATGTCATCAAATGAAAGATCCTTTTCAATAGGTAACTTAACTTGAAGTTTATTTTTAAAACTATCAAATTGAATTTGATGATGTTGTTGCCATGTACGATTAGCTTCATCTAATTGGGTATATTGCGTAGTTAAATTAACAAGTTTTTCTCGAAGTTCACGAAGTTCTTCTTCATATTGATTGATATTAGGAGTAGGACTTTGAATTGAAATCTTAAAAAGAGATAATTAAAAAAAGGATTTTACAGAATTTAAAAACAAACTTCTGTTGATTTATCTTTTTCTAGATGTTGATATTCTTCATTATCTTCTGTTTGTGTATATTTCGATTGATGAATATCATCTGTTATAACTTGTGTATGAACAATTTGAGTTTCATCAATATGTTTTTGAAAACCATCATCTATTTCTATTTCATAAATGAAATAATCTTAATCATCTTGAAAAAAAAAAAAAAAAACTTACTTTTAATATTTTGTAATTCAATAAGTTGATTATTAATAATATTAAACCGATTTTCAATTTGTTGTATAATATCATCAAAAGATAAATTATCAATATTAGTTAAATGAAATCGATCACATAATAATATGATTTGATTTTGTTGATATTGTTGCCAAGCTTGATTAGCATGATTTAATTGTTTTAATTGTATATTCATTGAATGTAAATCTTCTCGAAGTTGACGAATTTCTTCTGTTTCTTGTTCATGATTAACATCCGATGTTGATTTAACTAGTGGAATATGATGAATACGAGCCTAAAATAATTCAATTTTTCAATAAAGATAATCTTAAAGAAAGAAAAAAAACTAACTTGTGAAATTTGTTCTGAACGATAACGATCTTCTAACATTGGTATTAATTGATCAATAGATTGAATTGAATCAAATGGTATTTTAAAATATGTATATAAACGTTTTGTTGCTGATTTATATGAATTTAGTTCGAATTCTAATTGTACTTTATTATCATCCATATTTTGAATAGTTTTTAATAATTGTAAACGTTCTTGTTCTAATTGATCTAATTTTTGTTTTTGTTGATTTATTTGTATATTGAATTTATCAATATCTTGTCTATCTTGTTTATGTGTTAATTGTAATTTTTCATAATCTTTACGTAAAATAGATTCACGTTGTTTTATTTGTTCTTTTTCAATAAGATCATTTTCAATTTGACNTGAATTAAGTAACAAGTACATATATGTAAAACTTGACAACCAAGAGATGTCCCTATGTATACACAGAAAATTGAAGAAGTAATCGAATCCTGAACTTGTAAATACCTAGCAAAATCATTTGAAAACCATAAGGTATACTTTCTACCATCATTTCCTTTGTTTCTACCCTAGCAGATCATTAAAATTCAATTGGGCCGATTTCTGTAGAAATCGCCCCCCGTCCTTTCTATTATGGCTTCTGGATGTTGAAAAACCAGGGTTTTGGTTTTCCAGAAACCCTATTTTGGAAAAATTCATGACGGTTATCATTTTCTCAAATTCTTGTTGACAACAATATTCTCTATTCAAATCACTATTTGGATTCTTTCTAACACTTAAGGCGACGAAAAAAAATCCAAATTACACCTTGTTGAATAATTTTGGGACCCACTGTATATATGCATATACAAGCAATGTATTTTAGTAATCAGATCTACTGCTAAGGGGACTGAAATTAGCAAAACATTTTTGTAGTTGAAATCTTATTGATTTTCATTTCAAACTTTACTATTTCTTATGAGTAATTACACTACATTGATTTCTTTACAATAAGAGAATTACTCTATAGCTGCAAATTTCTTAAGATTAAAACTAACTGAATTTAATTTCATGAGGTTTGCTTTAGTTTTTTATAAGTAGAAAAAAGAATTACCTTCTTCAGCAATTTGTACATTAGCTTGTTGTAATAATTTTTCTAAATTTTGGTTACTCAATTGAATATCTTTAATATCATGAGTTAAACGTATTCTTTCAGCATCAATCATTTTACAATCACTTTCTAAATTCATCATTGAAATTTCTAAACGACGTTTAACAATAATATGATTTTGTATATCAACAGTTAATTCAGCTATTTTTTGTTTCAATTCATCGATAACACCTGTTTGTGCTTTAGAATCACAACGTAAAACAGATATTTTTCTTGCTAAATTTGTATTTTTTTCTTTAATTATTTCATATTCTTTTTGTAAATGTTCAAGAACAAGATTTTTTTCTTCTAAAGATTTTTTTAATAAATCAAATTTTGTTTGATCAGTACCTATTTGTGTTAAATTTAAACGTTTATGTTCACTTAAATTATTATCTATTGTTTCAATTTGTTTTTGATATTCGGAACGTTCTTGCAAAAGTACACGAATTTCTGTACGTAATGAATTAATATAATCTTGAAATAAACTACGTTCTTTATCCCATTCACCAAATATCACATCATCGGATACACCACTATATGTTGTACCATGTTCAGATTGATTATCTAGACCTTGTTTACTTTCACTACGATGTAATGATGCAATTAGATCTGTTTCTGATGTTGATATATTACGATTTAATGAATTAACTGATTGTCGTATAGCAATACCAGGTACAGGAGTTTGTTTTATATGAAATGTTTCAAATACTTCACGATCTTCTAATGATGGTGATTCAATCTGATGTATTGGTATAAAATGGTTATCATTCGTTGTTGATGATATAACAGGTGCTGGTACAGTTGATTCTGGTATTGATGTTATAAATGTTGATGAAAATGGAAGACAGTTTGTTTGATTTGATTGTTCAGTAAAATGAACTGATTGTGTTATTGATGATAAATCAATATTATTATTTGTTCCATTAAAAGGATTTATTGTTAATCGTGAACAAAGTGATGATGTTGGTGATGAATATGTTCGACCATATTTCATTTGTCTTACACGATCAACTTCTCTTTGTATATCAATAAATGATGTTGAATGAGATGGACTTGTTTTTGTATTATCTTCATTTATATTTGATAAATTTTGATGTGTACCAATAGCTAATTGTTGTAATGTTAATGCATCGAATTGATGTAAATTATTTTCATTAATAATGGGATTTTCTTCAGAGATTAAAGATGGTGGTGCTGACGCTGGTGAGTCATGTTCAGTTTCTTGTTGGTCTTGTTGTTGACTAGACATTGTTATAGATGAAAGTTGGTTTAAGGAATTTGAATGTTTAATAGATATTGATTCTTGTTGATCACTTTTTTTAAAATCTGTTGAATAATGAACGAGAGAATCGTTAAGGAAAGAATTTAATTGATCATTATTTGCAAACTGATTAAATTTATCATCATCAGCAGAAAATGTTACTCGTTCTGGTTTTAACATTGAATGAAACGATTTTGTTTGTTAATACTAAAAATGCCTCAACTACAACAGGATTGATGAGACACATTCAGAAAGAAAAAAAATTAACGACGTGTAAGGTATGAAAACAAGGGCAATTGGAGTGTCTCTATGACCAACCACAGAAAGGAAGAATAAAATAGTCTATAAATATATATATTTAATAGAATATTGACAAGAAAAAAAATATGATCAATAGCTCAATCAAGCATAACTGAAAATATTTATAACTTTTCTTTACAATCGATCGATACTCGGCGACGCACGTTTTCGTTCGTTCCTACAATCACCATCTGTACACGCGTCACTTGAAGATTGCTACGGATTGGTTATTAACAACCATTTACATTAACCAGAGACCTCATTCCAAAATAAAAAATAAAATTCTAAAAACTTATTTTCCACTTTATTTTATTTTCAATTAATCATAAAAGTTTTCTTACGGAAATTTACTTTTTCTTTAGTAATCGGAAGTGATTACATATTTGTTAGATTGACCGATTGCATCAGATGTATTTATTTTCTTTCATCATATAATTAGGTCAATACTCTTTTATATATATATATTCGTCCAGGATATAGCTATAACAAAAGACATGGCAACAAACCCGGATCCTACAACGAATTTAGAATCAACAATATCAACTGGTCTATCAATAACTGACAATGATCTTAATGATTTAATCAAAATACAAGGTGATCTTGTGCGAAAACTCAAAGCTGATAAAGCTCCATCTGAACAGGTTTGCTATTTAATTATTAATTAATGATAAATTTAGAATATCTATATGAATAGATCACTGAAGCTGTCGATAAATTAAAAAATTTAAAAAAAGAACTAACTGATCGTCAAGCAGCCAATGGTGAAGAATCGACTGCTGGTGGTGAAAAACTTCTTAAAACTCCTCGAGTAAATTTTCTATTGTTAATAAAATAATTTTAAAAATGAAGAATTATCGTTTAGGGTACACGTGATTACCATCCAGATCAGATGAAAATTCGTGAGCAAGTGTTTCGAATAATTATTGATTGTTTTAAACAACACGGTGCTGAAACAATCGATACACCAGTTATCGAGCTTACGGTATGAAATAATGTGTTTTTTTTTTGAAGGGAAAAGGAAGATTTGTATATTTTATTTATTTCTATGTTCAGTCACTTCTCACGGAAAAATATGGTGAAGATTCGAAACTTATTTATGAATTAAAAGATCAAGGTGGTGCAGAACAATTAGCTTTACGTTACGATTTAACCGTGCCATTTGCACGTTATATAGCACAAAATCGAATTGCAACTATGAAACGATATCATATAGGAAAAGTTTATCGACGTGACAATCCAAAAATGAATCGTGGTCGTTATAGAGAATTTTATCAATGTGATTTTGATATAGCCGGTGACTTTGACTTAATGGTACCTGATTCAGAATGTATTAAAATTGTTGTCGAAATTCTTGATAAACTTGATTTAGGACAATATAAAATCTTTGTAAGTATTTTCTCGTTTCTTTAAGCGGACTTCTCAATTTATTTAAAAATTAATTCCAGCATCTTTGTGAGACAAATATACACTATCACGATTATCACTCTTGAGTTAGCAATCAAAAGATCAATATTAATTATAAATTCTGTTGTGAAAAATAATTTTTCTCTTAAAACTAAAAAAAAATCTTTATTGTCTAGATTTTCATCTCGGGAAATTTTAGAGAGTGGTTGAAGGTGTAGCTGTGGATAAAGTTGTGCTTTTATTTGACTATTTCTGAAAGTCAGCACTGGAAAATTCGTGTTTTCTGACTGTTGTGTATATATTATGTACGAATAGAAAAGTTTTGATTTTTTTTCTTGTCTTTCAATTTAATCATGCGAAAGAAAGGATTAGAATATTTGAACAAGAAAACGAATGAATAGATTTAACTTATTGATTTCGAAGTTAATATTATTTTACAATGGTTTTTATTATTGACAGGTTAATCACCGCAAATTACTCGATGCTATTTTTGCTGTATGTGGTGTTCCAGATTCACACTTTCGTCCGATAAGTTCATCTGTTGATAAACTTGATAAAGTATAAAATATATACTTATTTATTAGCTATTATAAATTAAAAAATATTCTATTTATTATAGACACCATGGAGTGTTGTTCGAAATGAAATGATTCATGAAAAAGGTTTATCACCAGAGATAGCCGACAAAATCTGGAGTTATGTTCAAATGCATGGTATATAATATAAATATATATATATATATTACCAAATTCAATTTGAATCATGTTATTATTTTATAGGAAATGCTGATTTGGTCGATAAACTTCGAACTGATGCTCAATTAATGGCTTTAAAATCTGCTAGTGAAGCATTAAACGGTCTTGAAGTACTTTTTCGTTATTTAACATTATATGGAGTTATGGATAAAGTAAAGGAAAAAAAACCTTGAAATATTTTTTTTTTGTTAAGGGAAATTTTTTTTTTTGTTAGATAATATTTGATTTAAAGTTAGCTCGTGGTTTAGATTATTATACTGGTGTTATTTTTGAAGCTGTTCTTACTGAATATCAATATGATCCACAATTAGGTGATGATCAAGTTGCTGTTGGAAGTGTAGCCGGTGGTGGACGATATGATGAACTTGTTCATAAAATTGATCCAAGACAACGACGTGTACCTTGTATTGGTGCAAGTATTGGTGTTGAAAGAATATTTGCAATTAAAGAACATCAAATGGCTCAATCAAAAATGCAAACAAAAACAATTGAAACTGAAGTTTATGTTGCATCAGCTCAAAAGAATTTAATTGAAGAACGTATGAAATTATGTAGTTATTTATGGACAAATGGTTTTAAGGTTTGAGTTATAATAATACAAAAAAAGAAAACAATAAAATTCTTTTCTTTTTGTTATTTATGTTTTTAGGCAGAAATGGCATTGAAGCGTAATCCAAAAATGCTTGATCAATTGCAATATTGTGAGAAAAATCAAATTGAATTATGTGTAATTATTGGTAGTGCAGAATTACAAGCTGGAATAGTAAAAATTCGTGATGTTCAAACAAGAGAAGAGGTGAGACTTATTGTTTTTTTCATGTTTTAAATTTAAAGAAAAAAAACATAAATTGAATTTTTTCTTTATTTCATGATTTAGTTTGAAATTCCACGTGGTCAATTAGTTGAACAATTACGAGCTTATCTCACAAAGGTTCGACAACGACCACAAGAATCATCTTCAAAAACAAACAACAATTAAATAAACTTCATATAATATTTGTTGTAATTTGTCGTTTGAAAAACGTTTGTTGTTGTTTAAGCCATAAAACCAAGACAACTTTTTTGTTTTATCTAGGAATTTATTAAATATGACAGAGAAGAAAAAATATATTATATATTCATTTCTGTAAACAGAAACAGAAGAAAAAATTAGATTTTTTTATCATATTATGAGATGAATTGAATCTTACAAAAAAAGAAGATGAGAATAGTCGAGCTTTTTTTGTTTTGTTTTATACATTATCAAATTATAAGAAAAATAAAAACTAAGTAAGAATGAAACGTTCTAGAATCAAATATGTAACTTATTCACATATTTATTGCTCTAGAAAATTAATGGATCCTATTTGATACTGGTTGCGAATCAATTTCTAATTGATTTAAGCATATCCCTAATGATGCTATTACGATCTATGGTAGCACAAAGATCGTCAATCTGTTACACTGTCATTTGCATTGTGAGGATGTGGATGCAGCTGAAGAGAACACCCACATCCTTGCAAAACATAATCATTACCAACGAATCATAGATATATTTATTCAAAATTTTTTATCGATATACCATTTGAATGCAGTGATTAAGTTGATTCATATATCAGTAAAAGTTTTAATTTTGTTCTTGTTTAAACATTGACTCATTATAAAGAACAATGTAAATAAGAGAACATCTTAATCTGCAAATAGAAATCATTGTACAAGAAGAATCTTTGCATGATAAAGTTCTTCTAAACTTTGATAAGTGACGAAAACAAAAAAAACAATTATGAAATCAATTTAGATGGATTTATTACTATTCTTATTATTTTTTTATGTAGGATAAGATATTGTTTATCTAAATTATTATATACAACTGATATTTCTATCAAATATTTCATCACGAATCGTTTATTTATCTGTCTTTCCTTAGCTAATATGAGTTGCATAAATTACAACTGTATTAACCAACCTAGGACTTCGTCGCTTGAGATGCCTTGGTGTGCGACAAGCTTGATGTCAGATAAACAATATCAATAAAGTTAATAAATATTGTCTCGATAATTTCTATTAGAGAGACAAGCAAATAAATAATATATAAAAATGTATGCTTTCTAACTATTACACTTAATATACGCGACATCACAACTTAGAGACTCGCAAGCATACAACCGCAACAGATCACTCTAGAATTCTCTCCAAGACTAATTAATTAAAATTCGAGTACATCAGAATAATGAGCATGAACAAAATAATACAACATGAGAAAGAAAGAGAAAACAGCGGCATAGACATACAAGAACTAGAAATGAGAAGATGTCAATATAGGTGATGACACATCGTGCCGTCACAAGGGGTTTAGTAGTGGTAGATATTTTGCTTGTAAGTCAAATGTGCAGCAATAACGGTATTTTGTCGTTCACAGAATAAGTAGCGAAACAAAGAGAAAAGGACAATTTATAATTTTCTCGTTTTAATTAATAATTCTCATTTTACCATGTTTGATGATAAGTATGAGTGAGATAACTTTGCAATTTGAAAACTTTGATATGATTACAATAAGTTATCCATTGAATTAATCTGCTCTTTTCTAGTTTCTACGAGTGTAGCTGCTATTATCGAGATTTCAACCTTACTTAAGAGTCTTTATCAGTTGGCTTTAACTCTATTGTAGTTGTTTTCAAATGATTCTCAATAATCGTAAACAAAATACATGTAAGTGAAGAGCACATTCATTGTACCGTTCGAGGAAAACATCGATAAAGCTAAATTTTATCATCAAAGCCCGTGTTGTGTCTTTTTTTTACAGCTGCGTCTCAATTACGCGTAGTAGCAATTCTGCATCGCAGCTGCGAAACTTTGATCGTAGCTGCGTAAAATTGCGCCGCAGTACTCATATCGTACTGAACCGCCCGATATATCTGATATAAACCACTCGTAAACAGTTTCGGCTGACTTGTAATTGGTCGTACTCAAGCGTTAAAACTTAGCTACACCGTGACCGTATAAAAAAAGAAGCCTTCGTGATAGTATGGTGCATATTTCATCCTTGTACAACCAATAGAGTATCCAGCATCAATTCAGCCTTATTAAATGAAAAGGCTGTCTACGAAGTTTTCGGAAATCATGAAAACGAATTCGAGGTCAGATTTTTTTTATGAACTTCTTATCTTTTTCATTTTAGTTCTTTTAATTTTTTATTTAATTTTTTCATTGCAAGTTTTTATTTTAATATTAAAACTTTTTTATCAGTGTTTCATTTGTTAATTGTCAATCAGTAATAATTCATGAAAAAAATATCAAAATAAGAAATCTAACTTTGGATTTAGACTCCTAATGAATGTGCTTTTTAGTAACTGGAATCGCACTGTGATTCCTAATTGCGAAAACCTGCGATGTAGTTCAATCATAAACGAACACATGGGGGACAACGAAATATTGCATTTTACAGAGCGAGGATGCGGGTGGCTGTGGGTATAGGTGGCGGGTGTAGGTGGGTGTGGGTGTGCGTGTGAGCAAGATCAATATTCATCTAGACCCATACCTACATCCACACCCCACACCCTGAACGTACTATTGGGTGTATGAGAATAAGGTTTTTTTTCTCCTTCTATTTTATTGGACGTTAAACGTGTTCTATTCCTATTTTAGATTTGAGTAAAATGCAAACAGAAGAAGCTATTGAATATATAATAAAATGGCTGAAAGATTATCAAGAAAGTAGTCATACAAAAGGTTTTACTCTTGGTGTATCAGGTGGAATTAATTCAGCTGTTGTATCAACATTATCTGGTCGTACTGGTTCACCTGTTTTTGTTATTAAAATGCCAATTCAACAATCAACAGGTGAAATTCAACGAAGTCGAACACATATTAATTGGCTTAAAGCAAATTTTTTCAATGCGACAGATGCTGTAAATGATTTAACTGAAGTTTTTAAAACATTTGAAAAACCAGTAAAAAAAAAAGTAAAGTTGATGAAATTAATCTTTATAGAGAAGTTGCATTTGCTAATGTAAGATCACGTTTAAGAATAGTAAGAAGATTTTATTTATATTTAATAAATAGATAATTGATTATGTTTGTTTTTTTCAAAGGTTAATTTATATGATTTTGCTTCGATTAAAGGTTATCTTGTTGTTGGGACTGGAAATAAAGTTGAAGATGTTGGTGTTGGATTCTCTATAAAATATGGTAAATATCAATGAAAAAGAAAAAGTTTTTGTTTATTTATTAGTTAACGTTTGATTTGAAAGTGATGGTGACGTTGATATTAGTTCAATACTTGATTTAATGAAATCTTAAGTACGTGCTGTTGATGCTGCATTGGGTGTTGCACAAGAAATAATCAAAGCATCACCAACTGATGGTTTATTTGGTGATACAAAAACTGATGAAGAACAAATTGGAGCGAGTTATGATGATCTTAAATGGGCTATGAATTATCTTGATTCAACTAATACAAAACAAGGACAAATGATATTAACTGATCGACAAAAACAAGTTTTGGATATTTATACTAAACGACATGCAGCGAATTTATATAAAATGGTTGAAAATTCCACGTTGTATTATTCCACCAGAATTAAAAGCTCAACAACCATAATAAAAAAACTAATTCAAATCTCTTTACCATTTGTTTCAAAAAAAAACCAAAGACATTTTCTAAGCTAGATATCAGTATGATATACATGTTCGTGTTCGTTTAATTAGAATGTCGTTTATATTATTCTAGACGCATTTTTTTTCCTTTATTTTAAAATACTCAAACTTATTAAGAACTAATTATTATTACCAAGAAAAAAAAACCTATGTTTCTCTATTATTTACATGATTTCTCTTGTTCTTTCATTTGTTATTCAATAAAATCAAGAATACATTAATGTTTTCTTCAAATGAATTTTTCTATTGTGTTAATTTGCCATTTAACTTCGATAAACTGATCTAATTTCTTATTTGATTTCAACATTGTTTTTCATTGAATGAAACGATTTGTGTATGGAAATTATTTTCGATCAATCTAGAATAATGTCAACCGTCATTCTTATTCCTTTTATGGAAACTCTCACTGTTGATTTGAGAAGCGCACCTCATTTGTGGTTTTAACCATTTTGGATATTTTAATTTCATTCATCGGAAAGATAATGACCTCTTATAAAATAGTATTATGCTATTTTTTTCATATATATCAACTGAATAAATTCATTCATCAATCATCTGAACAATAGGGTGCGGGTGTGCGTATGGGTGTGGATTTCAAAATAGAGACACACCCACCCACACCCTACTGCGAGTGTATTGAAATACAACTGTTGTTACTAATCAATGAGATTCATTGAGTCTCAGAATGTTACGTTTGTGTATCAAAATTTTGAAATAAAGGTTTGTTTTATTAAATTTCGTTAAAATCCGACAATGATGACTCTAGAATAGAGAAAACCAACTTCAAATTTTTAATAATCCGATAATTGTTTTGGTTCGTCATAGTCAATTACTATTAGTGAAGTTTTATATAATTCCGTCGAAAATCAATATTAACGTTGTCTTCCTAAAATTGGATGATTGACTGTCGGAAAGACCTACCAAACTAATAACGTAGCTCAATATACTCGATTCGAAGAAGAGGTGCCTCAAAATCTAAAATGAAGTTTAAAACCTACATTTTTTTGAGATTTGGGTTTGGCACATGCATATTTTTAACGGTTCCATCCAAAAACAACATCAGCATTTCTAGAAGAAAAAAATATCTGCGACGTATTTTATCTCATGCTTTATTTTATTTTTATTGTTTTTACAACCAAATTTTCAATCTATCACCATCACTGATTGTAATACGAGCAGCAGATGATATTTTCATTTTTAAAACATCACAAACATATTTCTGCTTATCTTTAGACAAAGCAACAAGTCTTGACAATGATGTTTCACATTCGTTAAGATAAAGAAATGTTAAATGAGGCGAAAGATGTGCAATTAAAGAAAGTACAAGGGAAACAAGAGGATCCAATGATGTCAAACGAATACGACCACGAGATAAACCACCAGATGTGCTTAGCTGACGTAGGCAAGGAAACAGATGAGCAATCACCGAAGGATCTAGTAGCACCATTACATTGACATCAACATCATCGTGCCAATCTCGTCCGAATGATAACAATAAGTGAAGACGTTTGACAGTAGGATATTTTCTAATATTATTCTTGGCTACATTGAGCACATCCAACCAATGAGCAGTCAAACTTGTGAGATAACAAGCACTTTGCAAGATATTATCAAGAATTCCAACACGAGGATGAGAAGGCAATAGATATTGATTGGTGAATATGAGAGTGACATCATGCATTTTATGCCATCGAGGAAAGATGCTTGGCTTTTGTTGAAGATGAGTCAAGATTGGACCCTATTAAGATATATTTATATTAATAGTTTGAAACAGTAAAATCATCAACAAAACAATGAAAAGCAAAAAAAAAACTTATGTTCTAACTATAGTTTGAAAATTTCTTGGATAATTGAATCGTTATAATAAAGCAGTGGTAAAAGATATCGCATGTAGAGACATACAAGATTATGGACCATGACCAGTTTCAAATAATCTACTCCTATGATATGATCTTTTTCGAAAAAAAAATTGAATTCTCCACTTGACCAAAAAAACTTGATTTTTCTTCTTTCCGCTCAGACAATTGTCGTATAAATTTCGAACAAATGAGACTCCTACCATGTTTTTTTCAAACATATTTATCTTTCCAGAAATGATCACTATCCGAATTGACAAATGATAACTTCATACATCTCTGGTCGCATGATAATCTAAACTATTATTGATAAATCGCAGATCAATAAACATTCGGCACACATCTTTTTTCCATTCATATTTCGAGCAATTTGATGGGAAGTCAAAATCTGAGACGTTTTTTTTTTCTAAGACTCTGCTGAAAATTCTATCTCTTGAAGTTAACTGACAATTTTGAACTTGTGAAAAATCACATTTCTAAATATTTATACACAAACATGACATAGAATTGATTAATTCTGAAATGATTTGTTGCTTCTCTTGATAAACATACAGGATTTAAACTAATGAACAAAATAAGCGAATTGATACTAACGAGAGTATTCAAACATGTATATATATATCATTTGTAGTTGCTTTGCTACTACTCATTTCATCTTCATTTTCTAAAGTCCAACAGATGCGTCTTGGTGGTAAATCATGGAAAGGCCAATGAAGATGACGTACACCATTTTGGCTGCTAAGTTGTCGTCGTTGACAATAGTACTACGAGATGGGATAACTCATGTACAAGACGTCAATTGGTTTAGAATTTTGGTTATCAATGTATTCTTCTGCTTGATGATGCATAAGAGGCCATGGCCATGGCCAAGTGTAATCAACAACGTTAAATACATCAAGTGCATGTTTGCAAAAAGTATCATCGGATACAATGTAGAGAATAAGCTGCAAACGACATAGTTGAGCAGATAAACGATTGATTAGTAAATTTTTAAAGTCAACAAGATGACGAAGACTAATGATGCTGTCATTATCATCTACTCGTACACGAACCAATGAAAGTGTATCGAGTTTGAAAGATAATGACGGTACATAACTAAGAAGATCACGTACATTGTTTAATGTAACATCACATAAGCAAAGTGATCGTAATTTGAAAAGATTAACTGAATGAAGTTGATCATCATCCTTTTCTTGTTTATTATATGGAGGTCGTTGTTCGATTCTAACATCGAGTTCCTCAAGTAATGGTAAACAACCATCTTGTATAAGCATAATTAAATTTGACCACCGTTGCACTAATAATGTCAAACATACAGTATTAGCAAGACATATTCCATGATCATCTCCGAGACGGAAACGTAAAATGTTCAAATTTTCGCCGAGATACGGAGAAGCATCTATACGAAAATATGAAAACATATCATATAGAACTTAAATTTATGTCTTACTGTCAATAACATTGAGTCGCATAGTATGGAATGAAATATTGTTTTTGAGTATTTTTTCAAATGTATCGGAATAGTAATTACATCCATGAAGGCCGAATTCGATAATCAGTTCATGTAATAATGATGATTCTTTGAATATATTTATAAGGTGACTGAATGGAAAAAATGATATAACATTATCGCATAGTATTAGTCGACGTACATTGAGGCAGAGAGGAAGAAAATAACTAGATTTTGCTACTAGACGTACAGTGGCGAAAGTATCACGCAAGATGATTTTACTTACGTAAGGAGCTAAACGTGGATACACATGTTCAACACAATTCATAAAGATTTCATGTGTCCAGCTTTCATCAAGATCGAACTGATGAAGACCTAGTAAAAGTGCACGTTCGATCATAATTACAATTCAAACGAATGTTTAGATTAAACCAACTGACGACAAGATCAAATGTTGACATATAAACAAACAGTTCAAGCCATAATTCAACTGGCCATTCTTCGATCAGTATGACTTCATCTGATCTATGTATGTGTGTCTATATATATATCGACATTGAATGTGTTCGCACATCCGCTGATGCTCATACAATAGTTGACCGTAAAAATGTCGAAATGAAAAATGTCGAAAAAAAGAAGGAAAATATGTCGAAAAAAAGAATATCGACACGAAAAAATAGTCGAAAAGTATTTTAAAAGATTCTGACTTGTGAAGGACATTCTTTATTGTATGGGTTAATACTAACATTCTAACAGAGATCAAACATAAGTCAAAAGTTAAAAAGAAAAAAAATTCATAGTTTAAATGATAAACTATCTAGATATTCCATAGCATTTATGGCGCCATAATAATATCGTTTATCAAGATTGTCAATGCAATGTTGAATTGGAATTGTTTTGTTCTTACTCCTAAATCTACATTAAATTGAATACGCATATTCTGGCCATTCAAATATGTATGAATTCTTGCTGAACATTCATTAAATGTACATTCCAAATATTTAGTAGTAGCTGTGATTGAATTCAATATAAAAACAAGTTCATAGACTATGAGCAAAGGTTTTCTTTTTTGTGAGTGAATAAATGAAATATCTGGCAATATCGGTTGAGTTATATCAGATGATGAAGCAGTGACAATAGAATTTTACTTATTTAGTAGTTCTTCGTCCCCCCTTTTTAGTTAATCTATGTCAGGTATTGCTCATCATCATTAACACTAGTTAGAAATCTAAATTGGTAGAATTAGAAGAAAGGCAGCAATGAAGCGTGTGGAGTTTGGGGTATGGGTTTTGTCTTCACATCCCATACCCTATTATTCTTAATCTATCAGAATTTATCTTATCTGTGGTCAGTTGTCAAGGAATGAATATTTACATAGAAATCTGTTATTTTCTTAGCTGGTTTAATTGAATTTTTTAACATCAGTTTGAAGAGGATTGACTTTGTGATTGTATTGACAAACGAAGAATAGCTTAAAATAATTCGAGCAGATATGTTCTTTAGCTCGTAATATCGTGAGTTCCCACGAATCACTTGCATTGACTGGTTCCTCTTTAGAATGTGCAAGACTTTCTGTAAAGCAATAATCAGTGTCACTATGAATGAAATATAATAACGAGAGGATGTCGGGTAAGTGTTTTGATGATGAGAACATACACACCCACATTTACATCCATCCTCAACATTAATTAGAAAGTTAACGATATATATATTGATGATAAACGATTAAATTTTCTCGTGAAAATAATTATTGATCTGGATTGAGTCTGTTAAAATATTTTACTATCTAAATAAAAATTCGCATGAAATGACAAAGAGAGTTTTCTTACGAGAAATTTCAGTAATCATTGAAGATAATAACAAATCTATATTATTCGACCAGAAAACTAGATTAAACGATTATTTATAATAAACATTTCTTACAAAATTAAAATAATACTTCATGTATCAAATTATATTGAAAATTTTGTCCATATTTTGACAAGTTTAAAGAAATTCTTTTGGCAAATATATCTGTATATATTAAACTTTTTATTTAATCAATTGACAATATCTATTTAATGGAAAAGAAGAATGAGATAGTCAATAATCGAATGGAGCAGAACTGAAAACATAATGTTGAACATATGAATATTATCAGACAAAATTCATCAGGTGGAAAAGATCACAACAAATCTTCTGAAGATCAGTTACAAACCAAACATCGAAGATTGTTATCGTTCTCGTTTAAATCACATCTACTCTTCATATCAACATCAAAAATATCAAATAGGAGCAGGAAAGCATACCAGAGCCATGTATAAAGATAAATCATATAGATTATAAATTGATTAAATACCATAGAAAGTAACACAACGATAAACAGAGGCAAATAAGAATTAGAATATTTGATTAGAATATACAATGCCACCTAGGAAATCTAAAAATCGAACAATACAGAGAATTTCTCAAAATTTATAAAGAACCTTTTTATTAGGTCTTATTATTCTAGAATTTGAAGGAAAGTCTTATTTCATACAGATTCCATCTTAATTCCTATTCAGTGCATTTTTTCACAAAGTTAGTCAATAAGATTGATTGAGGAAATGTGTTAGTTTTATTAATTAAGACAATTTTTTCTCTTTCGTCGCCTTCCAACAAATATTGATTAAACTTTATTTAACTCTTGAAAAATAGAACTATCATTTCTATATTCGATTTAGTATTCAATGTTTAATTTAAAATTGTAAAAAAAAAACTCATCGAATTTTCGTTCGCAAAAATAAATAATTTCATTTACAAGAAACTTAATCTTTTCACGAAAAAGTTTACATTTAAAATAAGTCTTCCAAAATAATTTAAGATAGAATTCTTGTTTAGCAGCTGAAGAGATGAAAAAAATCATAATGATTGATCATTCTATCAGGGCCATGAAAATAATAAACTAAGAGATTAAGTTAATAAAATCAAACGAAAAAAAGAATTGTTCATCATCTCGAAAAGAAGCTTCTCTTGATGGTGATAGTTTACTAATTACACCACCATCGTTTCTCCGACATTGTTATTACATTTAGTAAACTTCGTTTTGAGATGTGACAGTCATTTATCAGTCCCGGTCATGCTTTTCGCTCTATCAATCCTTTGACATAGTCATATGCGTGTAAGACAACCTTTTTTCTTTTTCATGTTATATACAATTGAAGTATTTTTATTTGGAATATATTTCCAAATATCATGATCTTCATCTAGTATTCATTTTGTTTGAATGTTGAATAATCCTATGACACTGACAATAGATATCATATTATTTCACATTAAAATAAATATTTACATTAATATTTTGTATATGAATATATTTTGAAAAAGTGAAAAACAGATTTTTCTTTGTTGTCATCTCTGATAGACTTTTCTTGTTCAAAAATATTGAGCATATCTGAGAAGATCTACACAATAATATTTGGCCACTTTTTGCTAGATCGTATGCAGTTAATTCTTTGATATACTGTCAAAACACCTTCTATCAGCGACACATTGATATATCGACAATCAACTAACGATAGTTTGATGCTTAAAAAGCTTCGAAACCATGTCCGGAGAAAGATCTGAATTATTTATAACTTTTTCAAGTCGAAAGATCTATTTTTCCGTATATCGTTGTCCAAGTTTTTTTTATATACACAATAGTAGCAAATAACAAACAACAACAGAAATGAATTTCTTTTCAAAAACTTTTGGCTGTTCTTGCTGTTACAGTTCGCAATTTTCCATAGACTTTTGATGGCTGTGAGCCTAAGATCAGATTGAAAATTGATTTTCGTATATTTAAAATATTTTGATATAAACCCAGAATATGAATTTTACTAAATAAGAATAGAATTATATCAATAATCATTATTCTATTTTAATAAACATACTCATCAGCAAGTACAATTCAACATCGTGTTGCATTTTCGATTGCAAATTTCGTTCGACCATTTTTACCTGCAATACGGCCAATAGCTCTCGACAAATTATCATCTTTCAATGGTTTAACTATAAGCAAAAAATCAATAGCATAAAATAGTCTATATGAAGTTTCTTTTACTATCATTAATTTCAAATCATTCTAGAAAGAGATCATCAAGACGAATTAATGCAAATGCTTTGACGAAATCAGCTTAAAAACAAAAGAATAAAATTTTTTTTCAATTTGTTTTCTTTTACCAGCTTTTTGTAATGCTTGAATATCTTCAGTTTGATCAGATGTTTTGATTTCAACACAACGTGTTCTTAAATTAAACCGTATTTGTAAATGAAGATATTCACCTATAGGTGAATAAATTTTTATCCATTATTCTTTGAATGGTGTATAACGATGTGCAGATATTGATACTTTACGAAAACCTTTTTTTTTTCATCCTTAAGATAAAATTGAAAAACAAATGAGTGACTTTGAGTTGTCTTTTGTTAAAATAAATATTTACTTTTAATTGAGCTGGACTTATTTGTGGAAATTGTACTAATGTATTTTGTTCTGTATCCATGTGAACATTTTCTTCTTCAGTTGTTTCACGTTTTCGTTTATGAATTGAACGTTGTTCTTTGAATTCATCTGATGTTGCCATGATGAAATAGATCTGCAAAAGAAAAACAGAAAAAAAAGTAGTCACCTTTTTTCGATGCATAAGATTAATTTAATTAGAAGAATGACTAGCTAAGAAAAGAATTTAAGTTGATAAAAATGACTAATAATCAGCATATATATATGTCATCTAAGCTTGGAAAAAACTGAACTAAGAAAACAAATAATGTCATTGTTCATTTAATTTTGACATGATTTGCAAATCTGTTTGAATTTCAGTTTGAGTGAAGCACCTAAAAGACAAAAATAAACACGATTTGAATGATTATAATTGCAAGTTGTTTTGATAGATGACTAACATCCAACGAGAAAATCATCAATATCAAGTTGTTGACCTAATTCTTTACAGTTTGATTCACCAACCGAATCTATTGATTAGTTGAATGTAGAAATCGAGTCGATTGATTATGCAAAAAATTCTTACCACCATAGATAATACGAATGTTTTTTTTGGCGATGTCATCATTTCTATTTTATTCAATAAATTTTCATAAATGTTGATGAACTTCTTGAGTTTGTTGAGGTGTGGCAACTTTACCAGTACTAATAGCCTAAATAGATTCATAAACTATCACAACACGATTATATTGATCGTTGACAATTTTCTCTGAAACAATTCAAATATGATACATAATTTGTTTTACTAGCTTCATGTTCTTATAATGTTTCACCAATACAAGCGATAACATTAACATCTGTTTTATTGAGAACATAATCAATTTTCCTTGTCAAAAACTTCGAAAAATCATTGAAAGAAAATTATGGAAAAAAAGTTTATGAAGAATTTCTTTTACTTCATCATCTTCATGGAATAAAGTTCGTCGTTCTGAATGACCAAGAATAACCTAATTACAACCAGCTTCTTTTCACAATTCCGGACTAAGAGAAAAAAAAAACAAACACACTTTTCAAAACTCTAAACCATGATTATGTTTTTTTCTTACCTAATTTCACCTGTAAATATGCCTTCTTTAGCATGATAACAATTTTGTGCAGATACTTGAACATGTGTTGGTTTTGATGAAATAAAATCTTTGATAAAAAGAGATGATGGTGTACATACAATATCAACTAAAAAGAAACACATATTTTCTTATGAATTCTTCATATAAAGTATATTATTACCATTAGCACCTTTTTTATTATTCAATGTATTATTAACTTTTTTTAAAATAGCTTTTGAATAATTCATTTTCCAATTTCCACCAACAAAAAATTGTCGACCAGTTGCACCTGCCATTGATTATTCTCGTATTTTTTTTTCTAAAATTTTAATCTAAAATAAAGGAAATAAACTTTTTAAAGTTTATATCCTGAATGAATAGCTGGTTTACCAGATGATAAATTTTCATAATTAACATAACAAAACTTACATGAACGTATAAGTTCAGTAAATTCATTTTGTTTAGGAAAAACACGTATAGATTCAATTAAATATTGATATGATTTCCAAACATTAGCTATTATTTGTCCCATTGGTGGTATAAATGTTTTGAATATTGATCATATAAATAACATAATAATGTATTATTAGCTTGACTAAATTCTAAACAAAGAAATCTTCCATCTTTTTTTAATATTCGATATACTTCAGATACTACACGATCAATACGTATATAATTTCTTATACCAAATGCAATTGTATACATATCAAATTGTTCATCATAAAATAGTAATTCTTCAGCATTAGCTTCAATTCATTGTATAAGATTATGATAATTATTATCTAGAGCATATTGTTTACTAACAGCAATCATATTTAAATTTATATCAACAATAACACATTTTGATGTTGGATATATACGTGTTTGCTCAACGGATTCTGCCATATATGTATGTGTTGGAGTACTTGAAGGTTCTGGTGTTGGTATTGAAGATGATGGATAATAATGATCAAGTTCTTTTAAATAACGAAATGCTATATCACCTATACCACCAGCTACATCAATATAATTCCATTGTGGATTAGGACGAACAATTTGAATAAAATAATTTTTCCATATACGATGTATACCAAAACTCATAACATCATTCATACGATCAGATTTATCAGCAACAGATGAAAAAACTTCATTAACACGATTTTGCTTTTCATCTTCAGGTACTTTATCATAACCAAAATGTGTTGTATTTGATGATATTGTATGAGTTCGAAGAATTGATATGAGAAAATATCGATTAATGCAAAGAATAGAACGATGAAACATCTACAAAACAAAAATAAAGATAACATTCAAATTGATATAAAAATATTCTATATTATAATATAAAAAAGGCAGACAACAATGCAAAATAGAAAATAAAAATCCTAGTTCAAAATATATAAAATAATGAATGGCTGAGTTTCATATTTTTCATTCCACTGAATTATTATTGAAAAATTAGCGTAGCGAAAAAATCCACCAAAGTTCCACAGAGGATATAAACAATAGTTTTTAATTTTAAGGTATATTTTAGTTTTTTTTTTGTTCTTTAATAAAACGTATTAAATGTTGCCATAAATAATGATTTTTCTTCACCTATACATGGATCATAAAAACCAGTTAAATTTGATTTTGATACTGTTGTTTCAATTTTTTATGTTGAATCTTTAACTAATGTTTGTAATGGTATACGAACATCAATTGTTTTTAATGAAGATTCATTAACTATTGATGTTAAATGATCATAATATGCTTCGAGAATAATTAAGCCTTGTAAACCTTCTTTATCTTTTATTTGTTCAACAAGTGATCGAAGAACTTCTTGAGCATTCATTGCTTCACGTCAACGTTCAGCCTGTTTTTCACGTGCTTCATCTTCACATTTTTTCTCTTCACTATAGAAAGAAAAAAACTCTAATTCTATATTAAAAGAATAAAATAATTTTACCGTTCTTCTTTTGATCGAGCAAATGGTTAAATAATCAATCGATCAAGTACAAGATATGCAAGAGTAGGTACTATTGTAGCATAAAATATAGCACTCGGTAAAACATCTTGAGATAGATAGTAATGGAATTGTGAATGTTTAACTACCACGAATAAATCTAAAATAGTATCTCCTCTAATTAGTTATTTACCTTCATTTAAGCAATGATCCAACAAAAAAAAAACCTACTTTAATCTTAATAACACGCCCATTCTTGCACTAATTACAAATGTTACTGACTCATGTATATCTTTAGTCAATTGAGGATCAATATCATATTCGAGGCATGGTCCAAATACAAACAATCTTAAAAACAATAGATGAATATTGAATGATTTTTTTTCTTTCTTAAGTCTTTTTTTTTATAATTTTACATTGATGAGAGAATATCTCTCGACAACTGAATCCTACTTCGACCTCGAACTAAAATTAATACTAGACTAAAAGGACTCTTACACCTTGCTATATCTATTTATTGTCGCAAAATAAATCTTACTTGAGACTACATCGTAGATTACATACATTAGAAAATCGGCATACACCATCAATTGCTGCAAACATATTAATAAATCCAAGCTGAAAAATTTCAAAGTAATTTATTGAACTAAATTTCGAGAAAAAGAAGAACAAATCTTAACCGCACTTGAAATCATCCATTTTTGTTTATCATATTGTAAAATTTCTTTCATAAATTAATCTGGACTTGTTTTCCATTGTAAACAATTTGCTAGATTATATTCTAATTGATAATTTATTGAAAACAATAAAACCAGGTCAACTATAGTTTTACGATTTTTAATAAAACTAAATGTTGTATGAACATTTGAATGACTAAACTAACAAAAAAATTATATTAAATTTAAGAAAAATTAGACAATTTGATTTACCTACAGTTTTTATGTTATACAACGAAAATAATGAAATCCAATATAAGGATGTTGACCATATGTTAAATCAATCTGAAGAAAAAAAATCTATGTTTCAAAAAGGAAAAATTAATAAAATTTTCTTAGACGAAACCAAGATAAATCTGAAGAAATACGTCGAAATGAAGTTGTTAATGTTCCTATACCACGTCCATTACGTGTTGTTACACTAGCATTTATTGTTGCTGTATTATCTTGACTTGTTAATGGAATATCAATACCTTGTTCAACACTAAAATCTGTTGTTTCGATTTTTGGTAACACATCACTAATAAATACATCAGCTAAATTTATTGTTGCATGTACAGATGCCTATAAATTAAATAAATATTACAAGAAAAAAAAAATTTTAACTTTCAAACGAACGAACATTTGCATTTCTTATTTGATTAAACGTTTTTCTTCACGTTCTTTTGCAAGACGTTCATATTCATCAAAAATTTCACGAGCTGCTTTTGTTCGAGTTATTATCTATGATATAATTATATTTGAAAATAATCTATTATAAAATTATTTTCGTTTCTTACTTCCCATCCTTCGATTTTTAAACCTTTCATTCCAATAACATCGTAAATAGCACGTTTTTGTGGATCATTCAAAATATCATAAGCACTTTTAACTTGAATAAATAAATGCATAGCTAATTGTTCATTACGTGCATCTCGATGTTTATCAGGATGATAAAGAAGTGTTAATCGACGAAAAGCTTGTTGAATCGTGGTTGTATCGGCCTAAAATATATTACATTATAAAATACAACAAGATATTCTTCATTGCCACACATGTCTACTAATATGTAATATATCAAATAAATCACATTCGGAATCAGTTCGATCAAGATTATCATCATTGGATGCCATGTACTTTGTACAAACGAAAGAAAATAATAAAATGTGGGACGTCTGGGTGTGGGTATGTGTGTGAGCAAGATCAATATTCATCCACACCCATACGCACACCCACACCCACACTCCACACCCACACGTACTCAGACAGCTGATAGGTCAAATGTGTACCTAGATAAACGTGAATCTGCAGTTAAGTTCTCGTATGTCATAGCACACATATTTAAGCAAGTTTTTATTGATTATTTCGTTCTTCTAAACAGAGTAAATCGACAAATTTTAGCGAGCAACTCCCTGGCTTGTTTATTGAGGCTTGTTCTTAGGCAAGATATTGTCCTCTTGATTGAAAATTCCTGTGAACAAAAGGATATTTGGCACCTGATTGCGCATGTACTATAGAATAAGAGAAAGAATTAAACACGAATGAGTTGATATATGTTGAAAAAGAGAAAGAGCTTACATCACAACGGTCGGCGCACATTTTCGTTCTAACAAAACTGGTAAATCGTACAGTGCTACCGAACCAGATACGATCTGCAGGCGATCCCTCCATTATCCAGTGACGAGCTTCTTCACGAACGATTGCCCATCCTGTGCCACAATAATGTAAGTCGAGTGCGCGCACAAGCCGTTGCAATTGACTCTGAATAAGACAATGAAATACATGATCATAGACAGCCTTGAGATCTTCAGCAATAATGTAGCTTCCAACAGCTATGTCGAGTTTCAATTTGGTGCTATCCTGAAATGTGGTCACGTGAACTTTGATGCCGTTCAAATCACGAATGGCAAAGCCCAGAAGCTCGCCAGTATCGGGATGGAATCGGACAAGAGTATTTTGACCATGAGCTTCGAAGCCCAAACCGTGCTCGAGCATAGGAGGAAGGAAAGACGCAAAAGCCAGTTGTGCGTATCTATTGAGTAAGTAAAAAAAAACAAGAAAATGATTCATCGAATTGATTTATTAATCCAGGCTCATCTGAAACGTTCATGCCTCGGATTAGCTTATAGCCAGGCGGAAGAATGCAGATTCTCGCGGATTCTCATAGAGGCTAGCAATGATCAAAAGCTTCTGGTCGGATTTTGTAATAAACTTCAATCAGTTTGAAGTTCCATATCGATCCTAACGGCTCTCGCATCTACTTTTCCCTCCTTGCTGAAAAACTCAAATACGACGTCTGTTTCATCGTTCTAACTTCATTTTTAAACATTTCTCTTTCTTTCACTGTAGTAATTAGTTTTCTATTAATTTGATGCAGAATTGATCATTAAAACACGTTTGATTTCTTTGATATGGCGGCATAGTGGCACTCAGTGTTCTGACAAAGAAAACTTACTTACTTCTGCAAAAATCTTATCCGTTTCTCTTTAGAATCCAAATTCAACATGCTGATTAACACAGGCATACCATCGGTATCTTTCTCTACCAGCGCAGTGGCAATGATAAATGTTTGACCTGGCATCAATACTTCAGGATCCTCGCGGACAATGCATGTCAAATGCCGACTGATATCCGTATTCGGATGTGCGGACGCAATACTAGCTGGCTCACCGATTACGACGAGGCATGCAGGCACTGCGGCTTTGATAACGGGTGTAAGCCGAGGTACGTTGTATGCCGCAACGGCGCTTAAAGCGCGCAGGTCCGATGTGATAAAGATAGCCAGGGGAAGCTTCAGATGGAAGCCGGGTAGATCAGATGCAGGCGAGGGCGACACACTCCGTAGCGAGGCGTGCGCGCGAGAGCCGCGCTCGAGCGCGCAGACATGCACTATGTCAGAAAAACGTGCTAGAACGTTGGGTAACTGCAATTCGTGTACTGGCAGGACGATATGATCGGGACCAAGGGCGGCAGGTAGGTAGTCGACCATGATTGCTTCGTATTCACCATGAATGACAATGTGACAGCGTGGAACGGAGACAAACTTAATTTTCGGATGCGAAAAAATTGAACCATCAATGGGAAGAATGGGCGAGCCGGTGAGTGGTTGTCGGGTTCGATGCATCTGAACAAGAAGAAGCATCCGACTTCTAAGATACCGAGAAATAAACGAACAGACTCACCGGATGTGTAGGATGACCCTCAATCACATACTGTTCCCATTCGATGAAAGCCGATCTTAAATTTGGTAACGCAGGCAAATGCTGAAACAACCAGTCTATAATACATAGAATAGCATCAGCCCTTCTAATCTAACTTGTTGGCAAAGACTTTATTACCTTGATGTTCGACAGAATTGATGAGTTCGTTGACCATAATATCGAAACGATCGGAATTCATATCTACGTTTCGCAAGAGGCGCTCACAAATATCTCGAGGATCGAGAACAAGTGCACCCTCAAGATCATGAATGCCTAGCGGAGCAATATCCTCTGGATCAAGATTCATGGTGCTCAAACGATGCACCACTGTAATCAATAATGACTTGTTGTCGTCACCGTCGTTCTTGCTCGATAGAGGTCTGAGAGTGATCATCAAATCCCCTCGCTGTTCCATGTTGGCAAGTTTTTCGTTGATTATACACGCGACGAGACGGCTCGAGCAAGCAAACTGAGCTCGTTGCCAAGTTGGAATAGAGCTTCTGGTCTTTAGAACATCATGATCCAGCTCAGAGAATAACAAATTCTTCTCTGGGTCTTGCATTGTTAAAGTAGTTCGTGCTTCTGAGCAAAATGTACCCCAAAATGTATCGTGCACCACAGATAATAAGATAGTTTAAAATGAATGAGCAAAACTGACATTTCTGATAATTTTTTAATGTTAGACATTAAGATTTCAAAATCAATAGCAAAATAATAAAATATTTTCACACACTATTCACAAAATAGCTGCACAGATGTTACCGAAACTTAATCGTGTGATTCCACGGTTCGACAGCTCATCGATAGTCCTCTATAAAACTTCTGAACAGATTCATAATTTTGTAAAAACATGTTGGCATATCATTTTTGACTTTTCTAAAGCTGCAACTCTAAACTATTGGTTCTTTTTAGAACTTCAGTGACCAAGCTGGACGAAAAGAAACGTTATATTTCCTATTGATTTTTCGCACATGTGCAATGGGTCTAAGCAATTGATGATGAGCGCAAACAACTCGACTGACGATCATAATCGTCGATTTAGATCTGCGTTGTAGGTACTCATAGAAAATGATAGTTATTTTTTACAAAATCTAGTAGACAAAGGAAATGCTACCAACAGCGTAACTAGAAAAAAATTATAGAGAAGACTTAGCCCTCGTACTCTACCCACGCTGGTTACATTGCTAAGTGACACTTGTGATGATATAGTAGATGACAACGCTAGAAAGCTACTGAAACAGAAAAAAAATCAACGGTTTGAAAAATACACCCCACGCTCACACCCAATCCATATTGATTCCATAGATTCTATATTGACACTCACTTTTCTTCGTTATGATCATTCCTGACCTGAACGATCAATTGTGTTGATGATTCCTTGTACTTAAAATTACTCTGCTAATCAGTCACTTATTTACAAAAGAGGCTTCTTGCTATTTTTTATGATAAAACTTCAATCACGTAGGATCATAGACAGCGCAGCATTTTCGAATGGAGCGAGGCTCATTGTAAGACCATCTTTTGCTAAAAGTAAAATTTGTTTGAGCTATGCTTGATTCAGATATAGAGATACTCCTTTACACTAGTCTGAGACCAGGGACATAGTCAGAAGAGCATATGGTTCAGAACATCCACTCCTCCTCAGGAGCCTCAAGAGAAGAACTTCTTGTATAGGGTAGAACAAAAGTAGTTTTTTCACTAGCAAAAAACAACTTTCGTTCTTCATAGCCGATCGTAAAGCTTTCTACCGAATCGAACTAGCCGGTCTACTAGAGGTGGAGAGATAGGAATACGGTTTATTTTGACCGCCGGGGTAGGATTACAAACTCTTTTAAATAATCGCTATACATGTTCGCCTGCATCTATTTTCAAAGTAATTTGACCCAGAGGTCCGTTTTCCTCCTCGGCAGTGAAAATATCTGTAAGGGGCATGGGCAGAAGTTTTTGCACAGCGAGTTTGTTCTTCTTCCATGTTGAGTCTCTTTCCCTCAGAAAATTTTTGGGTAGTGTCTGAATTAGTTATATTGTCATTTAGCATGACTGGCTATCTCGATTACCCAGCACATTTGTCAAAAAACCTTTCCTTAGACATAACATAACAGACGATAAATCGTTCACTCCAAGTAAGTGCTGACACGTGAGAGCATCTATCTTGTGTTCATCGTTTCGAGGTACCACTGTCAAATATTTTGAAATTTATGGCAAAAAAAAACAAAATGGTTTCTTTTCCTGAAAAAAAAAACTTTTCCTTAGTTTACTTAGGAGAACTTGTAATAAATCCAAATTAATAGATGGACATATGGGAATGTATAAATTTCTAAACATGAGTTTTTGTTTTCACGTTGTAAAATGGAAAATAAAGTAAAGAGAACAGGAGAGAATATTTTAGAAATGTCCATATGAATTCAACAATGGTATCTCAATTTTTCAAAGATGCCATATTTCAGAAAGTTCGAAAATGATAATTATGTTAATATGAACATTTCTAGAATATCGAATTCGATTTCGCATTCTGATCATTTTCCAGAAAATATGCTATCTGCTATAACTTTTTATCTCTACAAAAAAATCGTTCTTTCAACTCTATACCGATTTTACTTATAACCGTAACTGTGCTTGTAGGGCAAAGGCATGAATACAAATTAAGAAAAAGTTAAGCGTTGCTGTATGTCTTGTGCGTTAACAATGTTAAAAAAAACATAGCGATGTTATAAAGATTTTTGTATAAATATATTGAAATGAGACTTTTTTATACAAAGGTAACATTAGAACTACTAGAAAGTTGCTTTTATACATTTAATTAAACACGCAAAAGTTGCAGCAGAAGTCTAACTATATAAAGCGAACGTTTTCATAGAACTCATATACAGAGTTGTGCATAACCTTTTGCTATTGGGATAGCGTTATAATTTCAAGTTGAATATCTAGTGAAT